AAGCGAGCGCTGGCTACGGCCAATGTACCTTGCTCCACAAGAGCAGGTGAACTGGTAGATGCACATGGAGGCGACCAGACGCGGAAGCTTATCTTTTATGGATACAGAAAATAAGTTTCTACTAGTGAAGGATATTCGCAGTTTTGCCGCGTTAAATGTTCTCCTAATAGTTGTTGTTAGACGGTTTTTGATTACGTCCGATGTTCGGTCACCTTTAAATTCCAGACTTATATAAAGGTTTTTCTTTGGAACGGAACAACTAGAATTCTTCTCGCGACTACTTTTATTCATATTCTTTTCTATGAACCGTTCTGGGTAACCATTTTCCGTCAAAGTCTTCTTCAGGAATGCGAGATCTTCGTTAATGCATTCCGTAATGCATATGTGATGTATGCGATGGCATAAAGAATGGATAAGGTTTCTCTTCCTACTTAACGGAACCCAGCTATAGAAGTTGGTTAGCTGGCCATTCCATGTTTGCTTTCTAAAGATGGATCTTTTTAAAGAACCATTACTCGTTCTCATCAGACGTACATCGAGAAAAGGAATTGATTGGTCTTGTTCCCTTTCTAACGTGAAGTTTATGGAAGGGTGGCACGAGTTAAAGGTATGTAGAATATCATCTAAATCAGCAGACACACATAGAAGCTGGATACCAAGAAAGTCCGAGCGCCCCAAAAAACCAGTAATCAAGCTGCAAGTAGATCCGAAGAAAAGGTCTTACTTTTTAAGGGGGATGTGTTGTGGAGATCCATAAAACTTCTCAAAAAAGCCAACAAAGGCTGTGAAAACACTGAGGAGCATCTTATCCGATCAGAATTCACTAGAAGTTTTGCCAGAATCACTTAGAAAGTGAAAGGTCACATGTCGAGTTTCTGATTGGATGATGCTGCTGTGTTCAATAGCATTCCAGAATTTTCCGAAAACCCAAGGCCATCTCAAATATTATAAAAACCCTAGATTTTTTGTACATGAATGAACCTTTAGAGTAAACGGTTTCTCCCCATATTTCGCACCTTTTCTCTCATATTCAAGTTGCCGTGTAGATCTAGCCTAGGGATTAGTAGAACCAAATCTAGAGTTCAATTAAAAGACTTATCACTCACTACACTTCTATATTGTTTGTGTCGATTTTGTCCCATAATTTAAAAGTTCTATACATAAGTTTTATTAACAGTACATTATTCACATGCACTGATCTGAGGATATAATACCGCCGAAATCCTTCTCATGAGTTACAAATATTCTCTAAAATCTCAAAAAATCATTTGCATTTTAACATGAAGGCGATTGTTTCTGAGTGCATCAAACGGTTTCTCATCTATAATTGCAGTTCAGATCTCAATAATTTTGTACATTTTTGCATGACACAGATCGTCCTCGACTGGGTGAAAATACCAAAAATTACACTTCGGTATGAATATATATATGTAAATATATATTAAAAAATTAAATGTACATAGACACCTTTATAAACTACATAAAAATAAAATATACTAGGTGTATTTTAACTCAATGATAAGTATATGTATATGATATTACTATCAACGTGGTTCATAGATTATACAAGATAAAGGTTTTATAAATTTGTAATGCTTTATGGCATAAAAACTCTAGATAAATTAAAAAGTTGTCTTTCTGGTTTGAATTGCGTTTAGCAATTTAAACAATAAATTGAGTTTTTATTGTTGTAAAAAATACATCATTAGATCCTTATATTTTAATTAGAAACTGGTCCTATAGATAATGGTAAAAATTTCTAATCATTTAGACACTATAGCATAAGCACGGAAAATGGTAATTTTCATTTATTTGCTTGAGAAAATATGATTCCATAAAATTCAGCTTAAGTTATATCACCAACAATCTCACAAACTTCATTTGGTTTGCAAACTCTAGCATTTGGACCTAACATATCATGTACCCATTTTTCCCACGGAACGATAATTTGTTTAGGAGGCACCAGTATACGTGCTGTTGTGTGTGGGTCTTTAGGATACCAAATTAATGATTGGGCAGCATTACAGTGGGGTGGATGTGCTGCAGAGATGGGTAGTCTGTAAGGTTTATCCGAATTTGTTAAATTAACCGCATTATGTTGGATATCATAAATTCTGCGTATACGACTACCCAGAGGCATAAATGGATCAACTTTTATACGTAAGTCATATTCCCAACGTATTTTTTCCAATACAGTAATCTCATCTTTACATGAAAACGTTTTTCCATATTTGATAGCTACTAACCAAATTAGGAATTTTTGTTGTCTAGTAATTTCAGTTAGTCGTACGCCACCAGAAAAAGGCAATTCCCAGACAACAGAAGGATGAAAATAATCTTTAACATGTAAATTTAAAGTTGATTTTTTAAAGGGACCTTTTTTAATATTATATAAACTTTGATGAACACTATAAAATGGATATTGCAGCCCATCGCTATCATTGATTAATTGTCTCAGACCACTTTTTAATGGATGAAATTCCCAAAGTGATTGACCAATTCCTTCATAATTATTAGCTAAATACATATAATCACAAGCTTGAACAAGACCAACTGTCCAATCGTGATCAGATATACAAGTAGGAATATCTATTTCAACTTTACAATAAAATGTTTGAGTTTTATAATAAAGCATCGAGTCCGTTTCTTCGATTTCTGTGCTTGTTGTATCGTCATAATAAGCTCGAATCCTTTTGACATAAAATTTATCTATGGTCAATTTGTTCATCTAATAGCCAGAACATGGATTCATTTTTCTTTTTAATGTTAATTTGTAGAAAGTTAATAAAAATTAATATCCTTCCAAATAGATCCCATATATTGAAAAATTGTTTTTTTAAACTGGTTCAGAAAACAGACATTCAAAAAGTGGTTAAAACGTAACAGAGATTTCAACAAGCTCAATTTTAAGATACTATTCCCTGGTCGTTGAAAGTCAGTCTGATAATTTTAAAATAATTGAAAATCGATTACGCAACGTTCATCAACACAATTAATGTAGAAAATATGTGAAAATTAGGATGGTGTAAACTGATGGAGTTTTTTTTATATAAAAGTTCCAGTTGAGGTGTACTATAAGGTAGAATAATAAAACATTCTCGATCATACTTTGTACCATATGACCGTTACTGAATAAATGTAGAATCAACGAGTTACTACACAAAATGTCCTGCATAAAAACTATTTTCTCTGAAACTATAGGATATGATTAACTGTAGTTGTAAAAACTTGTAATTTATTGACAATCTATTAGTTATTTGCCGGACTAATTATCTAATGGAAAATAACCTCCGTAGAAAGACAATGTCTGGGTATAATTTAAGTTATTTATCATATAAGTGGAGCACAAAGTACTAGGAGAACAATCAAACAAAATAAGTACTCAATTAATGTCACTTTCTTTATACATACATGAGCAGAAGTTTATCAACTATACAGGCACTAATACAGATATAGTCTTGACTGGAAATAAAAGAGAATATTAGAAAAACATACAACCCAACTGATCACATGTTAAAACATACTGCAAGCTGAAGAAAAGGAGTATAGAAGTTCATATCAGTTCTTAAATGATGACAGTTGCAGAAAACAAATGTGTGCATCACTCCAAGTTGCCAAACCATATCAACCTATCAAGTTGAAATTACCACGACAAATCCCAGAATAGTAAAAATAATAACCGTATCAGTGATAGTAGAAAAGGTTAGGGAAGACATAAGAGCAATTATCCAACCAACCAAGATATTTAATCGAATGAGTTCACATTAGCTACGATATGATATTATCAAATATAAAGGAAAAAAGTATGCGTTGGGTACAACAAAATTGAATAATAACCTAAATTCACCACAATTTGAAGCTGAATACATAATTTGTCGAGGAATGTACTCACAACTACCAACACCTACCTCTCAAGTTCTTAAATCACGTAACTAAATCTCGCAGTTATATTAAATTGGATGACAGTACAATGCTGAGTAAACTATTCTGCAGTTACTTTTTGTGTTTACCATGAATACTAGTTTTAGTCTAGATATTTTTAGTCTCGAAGAGTGAAATGTGTATCAGTATACTTAGATAATGATTTCAGAAACTCAGTTAATGTTAATAAGACTCGAAGACCATTTACGTTTTAGTAGGACATGACTTTTCGAGTTCGCCTTTCTCCTTAGTTGTGGGCTCTTCTACAAAATATAGTTGTAAATACTTATTTGTAACTTTTAAATTACAGAATTCAGTCTGCCCTGCCAGCCCTGGTACAAGCTTTTCCAGAGAAGATACTTGGGAGGACGAGATGACACAGTAATCGACTTTACACCATTAATTGACTTTATTCACAGAAAACTTAACAATAAGTATGAAAATCGTTAAGCTTGATTTCCGACCACAAAAACAAGAATCGAACATTTATTTATTGATTCAGTATAAATACAGTGTCATATAATGAAAGATAACTTCTTTATTGAATCAAATTCCCTTAACATATATAAGCAAAACAAAATATTTTTATTCTAATTTGAAATGAATTTTATAACCGGTAAGATTTACATGAACAATAACTTTAATTTAAACGAGAAGATAATAACATCATTACATTAAAACAAAAAACTAATTGAACAACAAACAGGTGAGAAAACATGTGCGTGTATAGTATGGAAGAATAAACACATTCAAACAGATACGCATATAAGATAGCATTTAAGTATAGGTAATTGTTCTTTTTCATTTTACATTACATAAAAACTCAACATTCAATTAACTAATGAAACTTATTTAAAATAGCAGCTTAACCAATATGAGCAATAAATAAACACTTATACATTTTGAAATGGACATTGAACATAAAATAATCATGAAAAGTATCTTTTATAACGGAAAAAGTGTACATAATGAGAAACACAAAAGTAATTACATAATGAAACCAAATGTATGTGCATGTGTGCATAGTGTTTTTAACATGACACTAAGTAATTTTGGAGAAACGAAGATCATTATCACAGTTATTCGCTTGCTTTTAAAGCTGCAATGAACTCTTCTAATTTCTCTTGAATATGTCTTGTTCGACCTGTCAAAAAGAAAAAAACTCGCAGTATGCACAAGTGAAACGGGACAGTGTAGCGAAAAACAAAGAATTTACTGGTTTACTTCCATTAAAAAGTAAAGGAAATTACTGCTGATAAATGAGGATATCGAATTGATCAATACAGTATATTTATAACTTGGTCAACCTTTTGACCTGAATATGTATGCTAAAATGTATTTTAGTCGGCGATTACTAAAAAACTAATTTACCAGGATCCCAAACAATTTATACAACGACAACTTGAAACGACCTACATAGATTTTACTAATTGTCCCAGCCAGACACCCAAATTATCAGTAGGATTCATCATGTTTTTTTTCGTACAATAATGACAAAAACTGAACACAAAATGCAGTGCTTTGAAATTATCACTGATTTTGTCTTACCGTCATATTACATATCATGTTCCTTATATGTGGTGAAAAAGGATCATAAGTATTTGTTGTGTCTTGTTACTGAGGTTCAGCACGGTCTACGATGTTACGGATCCAGAGACGGAACCGATTGAGCAACTCTAATACTGTCGCTTCTTTTCGGAACTGACAACAGTCAATTATACTCAACAAATAGAACCTTGACGGCTAAGATAGGAAGAAAACGGAATTGCAGGTAACTTGATATTTGTGATAGGACAAGCAATTCAAACTAAATCGGTAAAAAAGTCGTTACCTAGTAGCAGAATATGACCTACAAGTATGTAGCTATTCAGCGAACTAAAAAACATGACAATCAATCAGAGGGCAAAGGTCATGTGGAAAATCGAATTAATAGGAAATGTGCGAGCGATTATCGTTCCTGAAGAAATGTTAGCCTTTCTAGTAAAACTTGACTACTCTTGCGACCGCCTTAGCAGTATTGCTTTATACTAGTAGCTAGGATGATCGCACTACATACACTAAAGAACAGTGGCTCTTTGGTCAGACCATTCAACTCTAAACCATAAAACCTTAAGTTCAAACTCCACTCTACATAGAATTTGATAACTGACTAATTTCACTAGTTTTCACACAAGACATATGACTCTAACTCCAGTAAATAAAAAATGTACAAGGTTGCACTGTACATACATACAATTATATATATATATTTCTTGTCAGATGAAAAAAAGAAACAACTTTTATTATTATTGTCTATATTTATTCAAATGCGTTAAACATAAAAATGCGATACTTATACGAATAGAGAGATTCCATAGAAATTCATTGAAAGATATCTCTGCTAAGTAAGCGTTTTCTCAATTTCTGGCCTAACTACAAACAAGCAACGACATACTACTTCAAGGAATTTTAGTTTGTTAGGATGTTATAATAATTAACATTTCAAGTATTAAAAACTAATATAACAGACTCTATGACTCACTTAAATCTTCAGCTAATTGTACACGCCTGCCAGTGATAAGCTTTTTTACACGAATAGGATCATTAGACAATTCGTTTAAAACTTGCTTTACGTAATGTTCCAAACGACGTGCTAGTTACAAATAAATTGTATGGGAAGGAATCATTAAAGATATATTCTCAATGGCTGGTAGAGAAGGTTAAATCTGATTGATTATTAAAACTGTTGAACTAGTAACATGTAAAAACCAATAAATTAAATTAAACAAATTCATACGAATTGATAGAGACAACATATCAGAGATACAATGCCCACCAGTACCTAGGATTTTGATCATTTTTCCAAAGTTCTAGTAGGAACCGGTCAGGTATGGAATCAAGCAAATTGGTTGGAAGATATTAACTCACCGATGACAGTCAACGAGAGTCGTACAGTGCTATAAAATGACTTAAGATGGATAAATTGAATAGACAGGATTCGGTCCAGTCATTTAATGAGACCGAGAAACATGAAGGTCTTCAGTTTAGCCCTGTGTGTAAACATGGGTGTTCGCTGTCGAGGAATTCTGAACTGGAGTGAGACAGTATTCTATGGTCACTTCTAGTGGTTTTTATGCTGATGAGAGTACGTGATAAAGAATAAACTTTCAAATAAACGGAAATTTCAGGAAACCATCGCACTCCATAAATATGATAAAGTTGAAAAAAAATACTAAAATAATATTGTTTTTATTACACTGAAGTGTGAGTTATGTCAATCAACTAGTTTGAATAAAGCTTTATAATAAGCTGAAATACCCAATTCTTAGGTATTTAAACTGTATAAAGTTAGAACAATAAACCTATATGGACTAAGAAGCCATCACAACTTATCAGAATGACTCTGTACAATAGGTATACTTTACACAACGCCATAAATGTGTGTGGCACATACTTGAAAAATTGTGTGAACCAGAACATCAAATAAATGAAATGTTTCAAGTATGCGGATATTTCATAACGTCTTAAATAAAAACGTCATACTAGGAAACCAAAAATTACCATTAGTTATTTATATTTAAGTCATTCTAAGATAGAACAATTGTAGACCAATCAATAAACAAACCATCGGAGATCTTTCAGTAACTTAGAATCCAACATACATTTCGTAGATATGTACATAACTCAAACGTTGACACAAATTCAATTTTTCGTAAAACATTTTTAAAGAACGTTTTTTAAGCCTTAGAGAAGTTTTTATAATTGCACTTTTGCACCCAAATTCTATCGAAACTTTCGTATGTTTACCTATCGTTCAACGACTGTGAAGTATATCTAAGGAAAAATCCAATTGTATATACAGTACGTGAAGTAACAAAGACTAGTTACAGCCCTTTATTGGACTGTATTCCTGACATCTATACACGATGTAGCAAATGTAGTCTACAGGACTGAAATCTTGCATATAATTCTCATTATCAGAAGTAATTAGATTCAGAAACCAGATTATAACCATACAACTTACCTTCATCATTCATAATTTGTTGTCTAAGCGCATTACTAGTTGCATTCATCATACGATTCAGGCGAGAGAAAAAGATCACTTCACGACAATCAGGGAAATCAGATGACAATGAATCTTTACGTAAACGAGAATTTTCAGCTGCATTAGATGTATGTTCATTGGTATTAGAGGATTTATTAAATGAAGATGTATTCAGAAAACCATGCTGATAATAGTAAAAGCCTTTTCGACACTCTTGACAAACAAACAAAGATCGTTCGAGATAAAAACGTCGAACTAAAGGTTCCCAAGTTTCACAAATCTGACAGCAACGTAACATTTGAAAGTAAACAAAGTTGAAATCTTTTAGAAAAATTATGCATTACATGTAGAAAAAAAAGTAAACTACTGGCTAACTAGTATCTTTGTAAATTCCTTAAAATCTAAGAATACAAATTTTCATTTTTCAAAATGTGATTGATTAACATGATAAAATTAATACTAGCCTTACTTTATTTTGTAGTTTCTGAAGTATCAGGTCACGGGTAACTATTAATACACTTTGTTTCCCATACACGAACCAACAATGAAATTAGAGAATTTTTATAATTCTATCATTCAGTTTCGTCGACGACTCAAATGCTGAGAATTTTGGGAGTCTAGAATTAGCTAAGGAGTCAGTATGTTAATGGAACAGTTTTATTCATGAATCCATAAAAAAACAATATAGTGACTAAACTGAAAAAAATATTGTTAAGAATTAGGCTGTTCAGTTCAAAATTTGAAACTATTCAATACACGTTCGAAATACACTATTCATAAACTTGCTTACTTACGCTTGCTACCCCATGTGGACGAGCATAGGCCGCCCAAAAGCATTCCCCATCGAACACTTTCCTGAGCGATCATTCCTAACTGTCTCCAGTTGCTATTCATCGTTTTTACGTCTTCTTCCGATTCCCGGTGCAATGTGTTCTTTGTTCTTCCTATTTACCTTTTCCCATCAGGATTCCAAGTTAGGGCTTGCCTCATGATGCAGTTTGATGATTTCTGCTATGTATGTCGTGTTCACTCTCAACGACTTTTCCTAATTTCCTATTCAACTGGAAACTGGTTTCTTCTCTCCCACAGTAGGCTGTTGCTGATGGTATCCGGTCTACGGACATTGAGTATCTTGTGTAGACAAATGTTTACAAATACTTATACTGTTTCGATTATGGTTGTGTTAGTTCTCCAAGTTTCAGCTCCATACAATAGAACTGTCTCGACGATCATATTGAAGATTCTGACTTCGATATTGGTTAGCATACAGTCGTTTTGAGTTCCATAAGTTCTTCAACTGTATGGATGCTGTCTTTACTTTGCCAATACCTGCCTCTTTTATTTATTTATTTGAACACATGAATATTGGTACAAGAGAGCGCCAATATATATGCGCCACACAAAACAATGAGAATTCGAAGAGAAGTAGAAAAAAAAACTAAAGAGCGCAAAAGAAAAAGAGAACAATGACGAAGAGATTGGAGTAAGGTAGTGTGGTAGTAACGACGGAACGAAAAGGTACAATCAGAAGAAATCTTTCAGGTAAAGGAGACACAACCACTTTTTATGAAGAAAGTAAAAGAAGGTTACAGCAGGATCGCCACTGGCTTCTATTCTGAGCCATATCTGATAACGTCTCTAGCCACTGTGTAGCACCATCTCTCGGACCCCAACCAGGGAGTCGTGAAGGACCAACACAAGCCAGTCCTTTGCAGCTTTCTTTCATGCCACGACACCATGTCATGCACTGACCACCTCTCCGCTTCTTCCAACCAGTCCCAGAGTCGGCAAATAATGCACGACGTGGAATTCTCTGGGACGACATTCGGAGAACATGTCCAAGCCACCGAAGTCGGTGTTTCAAGATGGTGACACCAATTGAATTATCATCTCTGTGCCCGAACACACGATGCCGAACCTCTGCATTACTGACATGGTGTTGCCACTGAATGTCAGCAATCCTTCGGAGACAGCGATGATCGAACACAGAGAGTCGTCTAACGTCCTCAACTCGGAGAGGCCAGGTTTCACAAGCATAGAGCAAAACTGCTCTCACCGACGCGTTGTAGATCCGACCTTTTACAGCCAGACTAACATCACGAAGGCGCCAAAGGTGGCCCAGATTGGCATAAGCCGCTCTGGCTTTCACTATTCGTGCATTGATCTCATCACTCACACCCCCACCAGCACTTATGCAGCTACCCAGATACACGAACTTCTCAACTACGTCTATCTGCTCACCATCCAGGGTGAGTACAGGATTAGAATCCTGCCAGTCTTGTAGAAGTACTTTGCACTTCGAAGGTGCAAAGCACATACCATACCTACGGACACTGATTGCCAACTGATTAAGTGCGGATTGCATGCCTTGGGCATTATCGCACAGTAAGACAATATCGTCCGCATACTCAAGGTCGAGAAGTCTTTCTCCAGGCAACAGATCCACACCACCATTACTTACATTCATCAGAGCTGTTTCCAGAATGTCATCGATGGCAAAGTTGAAGAGGAATGGTGAGATTGGGCAACCCTGCCTAACCCCACTGCTCGAATGGAACAATGGAGAGAGGTGGTTGTATGCCCTCACTCTGCCTGAGGTGTTTTTATATAGGGCTTTTAGGATGTTAATAAACTTCTCAGGCACACCCTTCTTCAATAGACAATCCCAGAGAACAGTCCTGTCCAACGAATCGAAGGCAGCCCTGATGTCAAGAAACACTACGATTGTTGGCCTTTGAAAGTATGGCGGTGTTCTAACATTTGGCGGAGGGTGAAGATATGATCAATACATCCTCGACCAGAACGAAACCCAGCCTGCTCCTCGCGAGTCAATCTTTCTCGGGTTTTGAACAACCTACGAAGAATGACGGAAGCCAATAGCTTGGACGCAATCGGAAGTAAACTTATCCCCCGATAGTTGTTACAGGAACGACGTGAACCCTTTTTAAAGATAGGGACAACTATCGACTCATTCCATGACGTTGGTACACACTCTAGTTCCCAAACCTTTGTAAACAACGTCGTCAATTCCTTAGTCAAAAAGTCACCACCATCTTTAAAAAGAGCCGGAGGTAAGTCATCTGGGCCAGGTGATTTGTAACGCTTCAAGAGTTGGAGTTCCTTGCGGACTTCCTCCTCATTTGGTGGATCAGTCGTCACCGGCCATGGAGGGCAGGACAGTCTGACCGATGTTGCCGGAGCAGCAGGCCAGTTGAACTGCCCTTCGAAAAATTCTGCCCATCGTCCAAGACGTCGATGGATGTTAGTGATTGGCATCCCATCATCCTCGCAGATTGTTTCACTCACACCAGACTTCTTGCTGCCAGTGGCTCGGATGAGCTGGAAGAGCTTCCGGTAGTTACCAGATGCAGCTGCTGCTTCCAGCTCATTAGCACGCATCGACCACCAGGCTTCTCGGTCCTTACGCAAGCTTTGCCCAATTTCCTTACGTAACATCCTTCGTTTATGGTCAAACTCACGGTCACCCGGAGTAGACCGACGGGCTTCAATGAGTTGTAAGGAACCAGAAGAAACCCAGTGCTTAAAGCGGGACGTTTCGCAAACCCACAACTGACTGTTCCCGCCATTTTCATGGCGTCATGCAATTGCAACCAATGCTCATCTATACTTTTCGGTGGAGTGGTAGCTAGCCTAGAGGCTAGCTCGGTTCGATACTTACTTGCAACAGAAGTTGCAACCAGCTTGCTAACATCAATCCGTTGATGGCGGTCACTTCGTTGTCCACTGAAAAGTAAGGCAAGATTGGCGCAGACCAAGGCATGGTCAGAGTCCAGATAGGTACTCCAAAAGGAGCGGCAGTCTTGTACACAACCACGCCAGCGGTAGCTGATCGCGATGTGATCAATCTGAGTCCAGGCTTGAGATGCAGAGGGAGGACGCCAGGTGGCACATCGGCGATGACTGTGCCGAAAGTTAGTGCTAGCCAGAAACAGGTTGTGGTCTGTGCAAAGTTGCAGTAGACGGTCCCCGTTATCTGACCTGCGACCAACGAGTCCCCATCGGCCACCTAAACGACTCTCTTCTGTGCCTAGACGCCCGACCTGAGCATTCAAGTCTCCGGCTAGTACTACAATATCTGTCGAACGCACTTTCTGGAGAAGAACTGATAACTGGTGGTAAAACTCATCCTTGATTGCATCCGGGCTGCAATCTGTCGGGGCATAGGCGGAGATGACGAAAAGACATCGTTTCTCACGCCGATTTCTTCTCACTTTGATGGAACTTTCTAATCTAACAGCACATAACCGACTGTTAATGGGGATCCAATCGACTAGTGCTGCCTCAGCTCTAGCGCTTAGTGCGACACCAACGCCAGCAAGACCAGACGAAGATGCCACAGGGTCCCCGGATAAGCGCACGTAAAACAAGCTTTTCGAAGCGACAGATGGAGATCGAATTTGTAGTACTTCGCCAGAGTCTTGAATACGGGTCTCGGATAGACAACAAACATCGATATTAAGACTTTCCAAAGACATAGCCAGCCCTATCTGTTGTCCGACCTGCATAAATGTGCGAACGTTGAAGGCAGCCAGTTTGAATGGTGCACGTGGTTTCAGAAAATCTGCTTCAGTCCTCGTATTCGGTGGTAACATACAATTTTCAACCGGACAGTGACTCGAGAACGTTTAGATACAGTCGGATTTCCACCAAAGACGAGCCGCTGTATAAGTATAAAAGAGGGTGAATAATGTGGAAAATAATAATAAAATATAATAATAATAATAATAATAATAATGACAATAATAGTAGTAATAATAATAATAGTATTAATAATGACAATAATTGTAATGATAATAATCTGAATCAATTGTTTGTTTTTCAAAGCGAGAAAGGTAATTTCCATAGGCATAAAGAGTTCATCAATTTGTGTGTGGGCTGTGATACTGCCCGGGTGCCCAAACCGAAGCAGGTGGTTATCTTAGGGGGCCACTCCCCGAGCCTTTGACCTAAAGGTCTAACCCACAAGGCAGTGGAGCATCGTAAGGAGATGCAGTCCCATGGTAGCCGGTGACCAACGATTGGTTCATACGCCATTCGTTCCCGCAGGATACTGGAGCCCATGTGCACCATTGATTTGGAATCCGGTTAAAGCGCCGGACATTCGCTTTTCGTCCTCTCATTTTCGTAACAACACCCCCGCCACGAGAAGGCAATGAGTAGGACTTCCCTGGCAGAGGCTGTATACGCGTGGCCGTGTGAGAGTATTTCGAGAGGGAGAGCGGACTCTCCCCACTCTCGGCCGTACCAGGGCATTCATCGATGATGTTGACCAGGTATATGAATGTTTCCACCTCTTACAGAGTTTCTCCATCAAGTTTAATTGGGTTGATGTTCTCTGTGTTCCATAACGTTCTACTATCCACACTGCAAAACTCCTTTTCATAGTCAAGAAAGTTGATGAATAGTGACGAATTTCATTCAAATGATTGTTCATCAGTGATCCGTGGTGTCGCGATTTGGTCTGTGCACGACTGATTCTTACGGAATCCGGAACGTTGATCTCAAAACTTGACGACCATTGAATCCTTCATCCGGTTCTGCAACACTCTGTTGACAACGTTTTCATGTGCCATTAGTAATGTTATATCTCTTTGGTTCTCACATTTGCTCAGATCTCCTTTCTTTGGTATCATGATGAGATATCATTCATTCCAGTCTTTTAGAACTTGTTTCTCCTCCCACATTTTCCTGAACAGAGTGTGAAGTATGTTTCCAGTTAATTCCATGTTTGACTTCAGTGCTTCAGCTGGTATGTTGTCACGTCCGGCTGCTATCCCACTCTCGATTTATTTGATGGCCATCCTGATCTTTTCGATCGTTAGTTGAGTGACATCTATAGTAAGGTCTGTGTGTGCCGCATCGATGTTTAGTGGATTCGATGGGTTGGTATACTCAAGAGTTCTTCAAAGTGTTCTACGCTCCTGTCCTCTGTTCTATAATCTCAGTGACTAAATTGCCTTCTTTGTTCTTGACAGGTCCCTCTGGTTTATTATATTGGTCTTCCAGTTTCTTCCTTGTGTTATATAATTATTTGATATTCCCTTCTCTTGCAGCTTTTTCCGCTGTCGTTGCTATGTCTTCCACGTAGTTCTGCTTGTCAGCTCTAACGCTCTCTGTTATGTCCCGACAAGAAAAATGAATGATAACTTTTGGGATCTATTGATGGACCAATGCTAAACGCATATTTTACTGTATAATTATTAAGTAACTAAACTATGCATATTCATATTCCTCTTATTATAAGCTTTACTTTGACCATAAACTATTATTATACGTTTTACCATTCTTGAGTTATACCCAGTATATTAATTACTACCTCCCTCATTCACAGCCACATCTGGCTAATTCTTGCACAAATGTTGTTTCATATTTTATTAGTACGTTGTGGTCTGTTTGATTGGTATATAAACTCAGCATGTATGGAATATAATGATTCATATTGCAGTGGCTGGACTAGGCGGAAAGCAGGATCAATCGGGACTCTAGGCTGCTCGCACGTGCTTTACGCGTCCTTGGTCCAACCGATAATTAGCTGCTTCTGATTGGCGGCTTTGGGCTATAACACTTTCCTTGACTTGTTTGTTTGCTTCAGTGTGTATTCAGCTTGTGCCTTAACTTTCTCTGTTCTTATTAGGCAATTATTAATTACTATCTTCATAAAAGTACATATTTATATTGTGTTTACAGCGATGAGCAGTTCTACGTACATTGATTAAATAATGTATAAAACTCTGGAATTCGAAAGATTCATAAAAATAAAGATATATGCAGGCCAAAACTGAAAGAAACTAAATCCTAAGCCTAATGTTGTAGAAGCTAAAAAAAACAGCCCAATTATTTTTACAATCATAAGAACTAGGAAACAATACAATAGGGACATTTATTATTGTATCAAACACAAGTGTAGATGAATAGTAGCAATTATTACACAGATATGTTTCCTTTAAGATAAAATAAACTCACAATTTTATCAGTCACAGGAACATTACGAGCTTGAAGATTACGTCTAATAGTAGTTAAATCATCTTGATTAATATGAGCGGATGGTTTCTGCATAAAGAAACAAAATGAACAATTTAAAAGGAAATGTAATTAATTTTCAAAACACTTAATGAAAAATGTAGAAATTATTATAGATTAACAAAATCTACGAAAATGAAACAATTGAATTTACTGTTTCAACTTTTCACATTAAAAAATATCTGCATTTTGTGACAATATAAAATGCCATAGTTAGATAAATAACGAGATTTTCTAAGCACCACAAATGCAATATAGATCAATTTAGTGTAAAATATGTTGACTCGTATCAGTTGGATTTAGTTATAAGACAGTCTTGTAAATACAACTGTATGACATAAGTTAGATTAATAATATGTTGAACAGTGTTAAATATTTTGCAATGCAACTGGGCGATGAGTTTATTTCTTATCTATTTCCATAAGTTAATATTTTATGTGATATAAGCTGAAATCCGATATGCATTGTCAACACTCTTTTACTAGGGCAAATAATCACGATTACACAAAAACATACATTCGTCAGTTTTAATACATCAGTTTAACGTATAACCCTGTGTTTTCGTGGTGCTACGCTTACAATAATCGACTGAAGCTTCACTTATGCATAATCTTTGTCTACAAAAAAGAATATGATCCCTTTTGTTATTTATTGATCACTTTAAACATACAGTAAAAGTTGTAGAAGAACTATTAATGATAAAATGTTGGCACGATAAATTTAAGATAAATTCACTCACTGAATAGCAAACTCCAACACATGCATACAGACATAAAGCTAATGACCGACCTGTGATGGTCTTAAAAACAATACTATTTCAAAACCAGGCGGAACCATAGTGATGACAGTGATTAAACACGATGTGGTTTGAAGGCACGGGATAAGAGAAAAGTGCATTTATTCTGAACTATGAAGCTGTTGTTTGACATTTGTTTATTGCCCTATCCGTTTGTATAGTAAGATATGAGAAATTTAAATATATCATCTGGACATGTAGCAAAAATAGTGGTTTGAATGATACACTCGTTTTTATTTTGGCAAAAATAATATTAAAAGCATAAAGACAGTGATTCACTAAGATAAGTGAAACAACTCTCACTGGAAGTGATATTAATAAATTTTCAATCTCCTGAGCGGTTTGTAAACGAGCATCTTCTTCTGCTGTGCGTTTTTTCCAACGAGTCCATTGTTCAACCCATCCAGGACCAAAACTTGAAGTAATCGACTGATTTACTGAGGAGGTAGAAAAGACAAGTATTTTTTCAGGAAGAATAATGTTGAATAATTCCCATGAATGGGATCCAATGTACGTTTGGTTCCGGAAAAAGGCAAGTATTTTATTATTATAAATATCATCATAGTCTAATTTTACACTTCAAATTAGAAAAAAACTAGCATTGAAGATTATGTGTAGCAATCAAACTAAACAATTCAAATGACTGAGTCAGTAATTACGAAAGAACAAAAAATGAAACTGGAACACCAAGTGGAAAATATATTATAATATAAGTCCCTCGCCGGCTAGTAAGTTGTAAGTTACAATTTTAGTGTAAGGGCTGGTGATACTATCACCTAGTTGTCTAGAAGGATGGAAGTGGAGCAGAACTCAAAATTGTGACCTGTCAGTCGAAAATCTACTGCTTCCATCACTAACCTAACGCTTCATTGGAGCGAAAAAATATGAAGTAATGTAGCTTCGAGAGGAAATTCTTAGACTTTTAGTGAGAAGTCGTGACCAGTAAAGTTCAGTCGTGTCGGATGTAAGGCAGTTGCCCACTGAAGACAATAGATAGTCAGACTTTATTGTGGATTGATTGAAGTTAGACATTAACACCGTTGGATGCCGGCTCAGTGGTCTAGAGGTTAAGCGTTCGCCCGCGAGACCGAAGGTCCTGTGTTCCATTGCCTTATGTGTGGTCGTAGATGTGAACTTCTGAGGGGTCCCATACTAAGATAAAACGGCCATTCAATGCTTCCAGGTTTTCAATGGCAGTCCAAAATTGATCAGTTCATGCATTCAATGAAATTCAACAATCTCCACAACTATACTTACAAATTACGGTTGTTAGAAAGAAAGAAATATGCAACTTTGTAACTTATTGTACTATTGGTTAATACAATTAAATCTAGTTCAGTAAATTTAAATTTGTATATAGACCTATTAAGTAAATCAGATGTAATTCAGTATACTTTGAATCAATGTTGGATTTGTGTTTGAAGAGTAATAAACTCTTCATCTGCAGTTTTGCCTTCTTTCTTAAATCGAACCGTATCAAACATTGATTAGTTATTACAGGGAAAATAACCAGCTTTGTCCGGAGGATATAAGAATTAGCTATACTAGTATTTGTCTAGTTCAACAATAATAAGCGAAAGAAATATACGACCACCACTGAGCAAATCATAAGATTTAGAAAAAAACTCACCATCTTTTAATCGAGCTTTAACTGCTTGTTCTAATAGATCTACAGCAGCGGTCCACTGAGACTTTGTATGTACAGTATGATCGTCTAAAGCATTCGATTGTATGACACGCTAAGATGAAATTAATTAATTACAATAACAGAAGTATTCGGGAAAAATATGTAATAGAAATATAAATTTATCAATTCACAAGTGTTTGATTAGAAAGTCCCATATATTGTATTTATTAATAATCATGGGATAAATATTCAAATAGTCGATTATTTTAAAACCATAAGGTCATTATTAAGAAATCAAACTAAGTATTTGATAAAAGCGTGCTAAATAAGTAATCAGACAACTGCATCTCTGTGCTAATGTGGTGTGGCAACTCGAACTGATGTACGTACGTACGAAGTTCTACGTTGTTACTGACTGAAATAAGTTATCAAGTGACCTCGGAAATAAACAACCAGTATGGAGTTGGTTATATTCCGCGTGATGTTAGCATACCAACAGAAATCTGAAGTAATTCGTAAAACGCAACAGAAAATGACTTGAAAACGAATATTTCTAGGTTTTCAGTACGTGCAAATTCAGTCAACAGGTAAAATGAAGTTATCACAAAACACACTAAATATGGCCTTTATTTATAAACTTCACATGCTCGAAATACTTTGAAGTAAATACTGGGGTAATTCTCTTCTTTCAAAGTAGACCTAGAATCCTATTTTTTCGACCTGCAGTAAACTGCTGAAATTTTACGATATACTTTAATTGTCTCTAATGGAGGGACAGTTTGTTGAAGATATAAAACCGTGTTTTAACTTAGACCACTAGTTGACTAACAGACTCAAGTTTTCCCGTTTAACATGAGTTTTTTCCCAAATTGTTTACACAAGCTGTGAAGAGATCTGACAAACTTCGAGCTTTCAAATTACCTGACTCTCTCTGAAAAATAAACTAACCACAACTTGGATAAGCAGAGGACAGGTCGAATTTTACTGTAAACAGAAAAGACGATCAGACAAGGAGAAAAGTAGTCAGTGTTTCTGATGACTTCAACACACAACTAAGAAAAACAAGTTGAACGTAAGATGTTATGTGGTTCATGAATTTGAAATACCAGAAAAAGATAGTTTGTTACACCACTAGTATTGAATGTATATATGAAAGAAAATGAATAAAAATGATACTTACCAATCTGGATTCAGCTTTAGGGTCCCAGTGATGACGCTTACGAATTTCGTGATGTACAGTCACTTTTAATGGATCAAATACTGGATCATAACCAGGTACATCTTTCATCGTTTTTAATTTACTATCCAGTTGATTGTATAATGTCTGCAAACCAGTTTCAATTGAAGCTTTCGGTAAATTATTTTCAACCCAATCACGAAGCCAAATATCAACGTTTGTCTGAAAGGTTCTAGGAATTGCAACAATCAAATAAATCTAAAAAATAGTGACTGTTTTGTTGATTTGGATCAACATAAAGTTTTTAATTAGTGATTTTACGGTGCAAATTTGCATATCCGCTACAAAATCTTTAAAATAGGTGACTAATAATTTGGGGAAAAAAGTTAATTTACTGTAACTCGGTTGGATAAGTGAAAAAATGTGTTTACACATATCTGTGTTGGTCGAATGTACTAGGTACTATTTAAACATAAATTTGCAGAACATAATTTGAGTACGGGACACACTAGCCATAAGTCAAGTAATTAAGTTAGGATGAAAGCTCAGTAGCATATGCAGCACTAGAAGAGGTTGTAGGCAATAGATAAAGCCCACACTTTGTGTTTATTGAATATATGGGCCTGCCTATTTAGTTAATGATAGAAAGGATCAGTTCCCTATTTTTAAATGTTCTTCGTACGTGGATAAGATGACATATGCACCACATGAATTTCACACTGAACATTAATTGCTGAACGTGACGCCGAGAATGACCGGTCAAAACTGGCCAGATATGATAGATATTTCATACTGTAAATAAATAACTTGATTAGCTTAGCTTACCTCGGATAAAATAACGATAATTCTGTGGTATTGTCCGATACGATGGCCAAAGTTTGCATTTATTGGAGTGTGCAATCAAAAACGGATATTGTTCAGTTGGTTGTAGCATCTAATTATATTTAGTTTATGTTAATATTTGTACATACTCATTCCATTTAATGTATGTAAAAATCTATTCCGGTGAGTAGCTATTCTGTCTCAGTTGGGTGTCTACATCAATCGTTTGGTCTCATGAGCAGTTATCAATCGACTATATCGTACAAATGTGTATTATCAGCTGATTAGCATTGGATTTATTGATTTAATAATCTCCCGAATGTCTTTCGTTACTAATTATCGGATTCTAATTCACAACATTATCACTAGGATTGCAATAATCGGGGTTATTGAATCAAATACTGTATTTTCCAACTCAGTCTAGATAATCGGATGGAATTTGAAACTTGCACTCAATAACTATAGATAGCAAAGGCGTACATAGAATTGGACTTAATTACTGAATTTCGGCTAGTACCAAAGCTTGAGAAACACAGAAGCTCGAATAGTAAAAGATTTACCATATTTTTTTCGTTACATAGTTAATTTAAAATAACACCAACGATGCATCATATATAAAAAACAATTTACAAAAACCTTACCCTATATCGTCAATGTGCTGTGAGGGTTCAATTATTTTAGTGAATATATAATCTTTTAGTTTGTTCCATAATTCGTAATGAATATTTTTCTCCCATACAGTGGAGCTGATACCATTTAGTGATATTAGGTCATCTAATATATTGTTACGAGCTTTTTTCAAATAATTCTTCACGATCCATTTCACGTAAATGAGGAAACGAATTTTTCCATTCTGTTTCAAGATTATAATGAATAGCTATATTTTTGGAAAAAAGAATCATTGATATCTTTAATGAAGAAACATTTTCGAAAACTATAAGTTTCATTTACGAAAGTTCAGATAAGCGGCTACATGTATTGAAATTAGGTTTCGTTCCTGCATATTATGAACAGATGATGACGTGCACCTTTCCGAGTTGACACTTTTGACAGAGTGGTGCTTGGCGACCCACTTAGAAATTTTAAAAATCGGTGCATGAGGTTGCCAATTACTCAACAATAAATATTGAAGAGAAGAATCGAGTAACAAAACTTGGAAACTAGACATAAAACCTGATTGGGTTTCAAAAGCTGTGATATTTATTAACTAAACTAAGAGTTTCTCGATGCAATCGACAAGTGAGAGGAGAAACAGAGGCTATGACAAAACTAATTTTTACTTAAGAACGTTAAATCAACTTATGATATATGTGAATGATAAATACTTGCGTTGTTGCGAACTCATGTGAAATTATCATCACTTTTCTTATATAGAACAGTAACACTTCGATTTCCAACTAAAATCCAATTGGATTGAATGTCAAGCAAGAAACAGTACCTTTTAGTCGGGTATTATTTATTCATTTATTATTTAAATATCCCTATTTATGGTAGAAACGAAGAACAGAGTCTTTAAAGACTGCGATAACCACCATTCTTGTTTTAAGTGCTAAAAACTATTCTACTCATTCCAAGAAGCATGAGAGGAGATAACTGATTCAAAAATCACCTAGAGGTAAATTGACGAAAACTGCCCTTATAAAATATGAACAACTTAATTTGATGTTGTGCAAACAGTAAAAGCACCGTATTGTGTTTTTTAAATTCTGAGTGAAACCTTACACAAGACTGATCCTATACTGTTGCTATTTCGTTTAAAATACGATTAGTTTGGATTGGACTTGGATTTTTAGTGTCTTCATGGCATTCATTTGCATCCAAACATGAACGAATAGCAGAAATTTGCTTTTATTTGCAACCTACCCTACTACGAATCTAATATTGTTTGATATAGACCAGGTAAGAAGTACTTATCAGTCCATCCCTCTTACACGTTAAATATTATTACCAAAAAAACGATGTCGTTCAGTCTTGAAAGGATTGCTTCACAGTCCTTTCACTTGAAAATATGCATGAAGATACATCAACAAGCTATATCGAGCTTGGACACTGAAATATTGTAATATTTAGAAAGATGTATACCATTGAAGAAAACAGTTCAGTTGATCAGAATAATACCAAAGGGTGGTACAACAGACTTTTATTTGAATAATTCAGAAATTTCGTAAAATATTGCACTAAGGAGTTGAAAGACCTCACATGACAGTGGTCGGCGGAAAAGTCCTCACAGCATATTTTTCTTAACAATGTGAAGACATCTGGGTAGTTGTTGAAATTTAAGAACTACTTAAAAACGCGGTAATCTAATAAACATAAAAAACAGTTATTCGTTAATCATTTACCTCTATATGTATCAGCTTGTTGTTCAACTGAATCTTTGACCATTTTCCAGAATCTCTCTGATACAGCCTTGCTAAGATTAGCTGTGGTCATCTGCGACATACGAAGTGTACCTTCTTTAAATAGACGAGAATGACGAAAGAAATTCTCTTCATATTCTTTAATGCTATCTATACTTTCATCTTTTGTACCTAATTGATAGAAAGGGAATTAAAATGAAGTCCATAAAAGACCTACCTTTTCCTGTGACCACAGCAAAATAACCAAGTGCTTTCATAGGAAATAATTTACCCTCCAGAATTTGTCTGATCTATTATTAAAGAAAATTGATTTACAAAAATGATACGTCTAAAAACTTACACGGTCTGGGCTGCGCAGATTTGATTCAGCCAAATCCACTTTGGTCAAAACAAAGATAGTTCGTTTACCTGAAGGATCTACAGAAGATACTAGATCTGTTACATTGCTACGCTCAGCATCGATACTCCCATCTTGGATAACAAGTAAATAAAAAAATTGATCGATGTAAAAGTGAGTACATAAAATATCGAGTTTCGAATCATTGATTTCTAAAGCTAAATCAAATCATCTTTATTACAAGAAATACTGCTGTATTAAACGGATGAAGACAGTACATGTAAGCTTCTGAATCTACGTTTTCTGCTCGTTAACACAGGTTACTACGATACATAGGTAATCTTAGGGAAACTTATGTTAAGCTCGAATAGCTTAGTTTCAATGTCTTTGGTCATACCACTGGGTGACAACGGGTGGAGTAGATAAGAGAATACTACTTCCTACAGGATACTCCAACCTGTACAAAACCTAGGTCCAAAGCTTATTGGTGAGTTGTTAATCATTTAACACTGTACAAAGCGAATTGTGGTGCTAAGTCGCGTTGATGACTAACAACAATGAGAAATTGGTCGATAAAATCCGATCTTCATAAAGGACTAGATAAAATAACGTTGGCTACCTTTCAATAACTGGTGTAAACAGTACCATATAACCAGTATATTTCGTATATGCTGTTCGGTGAAAAAGCCAGTTATCTTTATACTTTCTCAGCATCACAAGAATTATTAGATTCCAAATAGACCTTTATTTATCTTACTTGGTACAATAAGACACCAGTATCTAACAGTCCAGGTCAATGTGAACTACAAAGTAATAGAAGATAATCTAAGCTACACATTTATTCATTAATCAATAGAAATTTAAAAAGAATGATAAATTGGATAGAAATTAGAAAATTACCGAATTAAATCTGGCGAATCGAAGAACAAGGAAAATATTACCAAGTATATGTGAAGACAGTTTAAGATTTACAAGTACCGCGAAATTAAAACAAATGAAAATATGACGCGACATAAACCTTATTAACCAGTTGACTCGGTTGAAACCGAGCTACTGATTAACTTACAAATAGTTGCCATGTAACTGATTTAGCCCGACGAAAGTAAGAGACATTATCCATGCGGAAAAAGAGGGCTTGTCATTTAAATGGCAGAGTTCACACAACACAACATTGAAATGTGCAAACAAATCGTAAATTGATGCGCCTTAAAAGGCGTAATATAACGACGAATAAACTAACCTTGAACACATAAAATAATCGCATTCGGATTGTTCATATATTGTCGAGCAACATCCTGTATAGTTTCACGTGTACCAGACTGCATACCCGTTGTTACAGTAGAAATTATGCCAGGTAGGTCAACAAGAACCATCCTCTGAAGCCCAGGCCCTTTCACGTTTAGGGAAATGACGTCAGTGCTGACTGTTTTACCACCACTAACAAGTGCCTTCATACGCATCTACAGAATAAAACCAAGCATATTTTACGGAGCGCATTTTGAAAAATGTAATTAGCTTAGTTATCACATCTTGATACATGAAAAGAATTTGTATGACTGCAAAATCATTTTTCTGAACAAATCGGCTTTGAATTTCGTTAAACAAATTTGTATAACATTATAGAGGGAAATGAAAGTCATTATAGAAGCGAATAATTTGCAAAAGCATACGAGAAAACATCAGGGCACAAAAACCAAAATAATAGGTGAGTAACCAGTAAATCTTGAGCTGACTATTAAAACTACAGTGCTGCAAATGTGTATTAGAGGTGGACAAATAGCTTTTTAAATAGATAAATTTGCTGATTATCTGTATTAGCATGTCCCTTAGGTGGTTTTAAACTTTAGACAAACCCAGCCATCAAAACCGAGTCACTTATGAAAAAACAAAGCCTGGGACAAGTGTACACCGAATAAAATTACCATAACTTGGCAATATTATACCATCACAGAACAGGTTTGATTTACAAATCAGTGCACGACTTTGTAAACGACTAATGATTGACGTAAATCATGTAAGTTTCGCATCATATCAATAAAACTTCGTAGTCAACAAACCGATGATAAAGTTGTCTTATAACCACGTTACCTTGAAACCCTTTACAGTTCACGACCTAGTCGTAATCATATCTGACGTCGCAATCACTGATTGTCCCAACATATAAGGAGGGGGCCAAACTCATCCCATGACAACTATAGAGGGATTAGTTTAACTAACAAAGCATCTAAAAATACTAGCCTCAATAATTACCGGATGCCTAACATAGACTCTCGAACTTCAAATACGAGAAAATCAGGCTGGTTTTAAACCTGTTCGTGGTTGCATCAACCACATATCCGGTATTTATCAGATTTTAGAACACATGCATGCTTATCAGCGTCCGACAGTGGTGGTCTTTCTTGACCTAAAAGCAGCATTTGACTCTGTAAACCGGGAGGTTCTGTGGCAGTGCCTATCATTGAAAGGCATACCTCAGAAGTACATAAACCTTGTGAAGGCTCTTTACTCGAATGCTACTAGTCGAGTCAGAGCTTATGGCGAACTGTCATCTGATTTTGCAAACTCAAGTGGTGTCCAGCAAGGCTGTTCACTTTCTCCATTCCTGTTTAGTTTCATCATACACCTACTGATGGAAATAACGTTCTCGTCGACTGAATTTTCAGGCATTGATCTACTACTGATAAAGTGCAGAGTCTTGTGGTAGCACTGAGCAATAATGCCAGAATGTTTGGGATGCGTTCTCCCCCTCAAAATGCCAGTTGTTGCTCCAGCGAAACATGGTCATCAAGAGCAGAAGATACTCGTAAGCTACTAGTATTTGATCACAGATGTCTTAGAAATATTGCTGGCATCTGCTGGGATCACCAGGTAAGCAATAGTGAGGTTAGACGCAGGGTATAAGGGAACGATGGTAAATCAGTTGATGAGGTTATGAATCTTCATTGACTGAAATGATTGGGTCACGTGTTTCGTATGTCTGAACACCTATTACCACGATGCGCAATGCTAACTAGTGTTGGAGACAGTTGGAAGAAAGTTGAGGCACCACATGCCCTGGTACGGCCGAGAGCGGGGTGGGTTCACCCTCCTCGAAATACTCTCACACAGCCACGCGTATACGGTCCCTGCCACGGAAGTCCTACTCACTGCCTTCTCGAGGCGGGGGTGTTGTTAACGAAATTGAGGATGAAAAGCGAATGTCCGGCGCTTTGACCGGGTCGCTGGACATGGAGAGTCCACCTAGGGGAGTTGAAAAACCCTGATTCAGAACCAACGGTGTACATGGGCTCCAGTATCCTGAGGGAACAAATGGCGTATGAACCAATTTTTGGTTACCGGCTACCATGGGACTGCATCTCCTTACGATGCTCCACTACCTTGTGGACCAGACCTTCAGGTCGAAGGCTCGGGGTGTGGCCCCCTAAGAAAACCACATGCTTCGGTTTGGGCACCCGGGCAGCATCACAGCCCTCACACAAAGCAAATGGGATTTGTGTGGTGCATACGTATCTGGTGCCTCCTTGTACCAATATCTATGTGTTCAAATAAATAAATAAATAATAGGGAAGGGCAAACCAAAGCTTGGCATCGGTCATTGAAATCACTAACTTCTGGTCTGAGCCATGCTGGTGGATGCAGACTACTTGGTTGGGGTCCGCGTGACTGTCGTAACCAATGGTTGGAGACTGCGGGTGACATGACTCAGAATCGATCACAATGGCGTTGGTGTATACACTCTTTGTCTCCCCTTAAACTATGAGATTAAAATCGCTTCACATATTTCTTTCAACCAACTAATTATTTCTTTCTGTACTATATCCTTAAATGAAATCTTTCTTTTATATATTACCACCATTGTTGTGCTAATGAGGTATGGCAGCTTGGACCAATGCATATATGTGCCTGGTCCTACGTTGTAGCTGACTGACTCCCGACTAAGTGCTTCAAATAGTGTACACACGCCAGAACATGTAAGAACTAATGAACAATTTTGACAGTGATTAACAGCGACAACACTCCATCAATATATAGTCAAATTGTAGTCAGTAAATGACATCATAGGATAGATGAGTTTGACAACTCATACACCGAAATTGAGACAAGCTCGTATGTGCTTAATGAGTATAATTCTTGAATAATCTTTCCCTACTCAGGGGTAGATTCCTTAGTGGAAATTATCTTTATAGTTTACAGTGGACAAACGAAATAGCTGTTTGGCGGAAACATGGGCGAAATACAGTCTCCTTGAATAACTTGAGTATCGATGAAGAATGTTCGAAGTGAATGGAGAATGGTAATTAGCCAGTCAATCAAAAGCAACATAGTAATCTGCTAACGACATTGCATAATTTACCAATAATTATTCTTGACACTAAAAAGCAAAACATAAGTTTAAGAACCTTCTCCACAATATATGTACCCTTTGACCCGTTTACCTAACCTGGTCCGTAATGCAGGTTAACATAAAAAAGTTTGCAAGGTTTATCGCAATCATGCTACAGTGCTGACTAATTATCTAATTAATTGACTGTTTACTTAACGAAACCTTGTTAATTGATGAGGGTACTGTTATTTACCCAGCGACTTTATAACAGGTTAGAACCAAGAGATATCCTAAAGACCTTCAAAATGCCGATATGCTTATACTGAGTGTTTAAATAAACACGGAATATCATAAATACGATGGTGGCTTTACAGGGATCTGTCTTTTTACTGGTTTATTTGCACTGAATCAATACAACGGAAAATCTTATATTTACGTACTACACTAATAATCTTTGAAAAGTAAACAGTAATCATAATGTGAACAGCTGGTAAGAATAATTAGGAACCTCAAACTAATGCAAACTTTATGAACCAATTAGGGCGGAATCACTAACCTCTATCTCTTTCCTCAACGATGCAAGTTCGGACTCTTTTGTGAGATCGTATTCACGTGAACCATCTTTGAATGAAGCAACATGGTATGGGCCCTCAGAAAGAGTTTACTTTGACCGGAGATCGTGTCATCATCTCTCCACCACCTCTTGGAAATATCCGAGCCTGTACTATCATTTCTAAAACAGATGTTTTCCCAGAGCTTTGATCACCAACAACAACCACTCTTGGTAATTGGTCCTACGAAGTACATGGGAAGACAAATTATGAACAGATATAGTTAAGAATGGAAGTTGGTTCTAAAAACAACTTTGTGTCCCTCAACAAGTTGTCCACAGTTACCTGAGCATTGTATGCAGAATCCAAGTCTGATAGTTCATCCAATACTTCTGAATACATATCAATCAAAGATTTCTAGGAACAAGTTAAGCTAGGACTCGCTGACATACGTTGATACGACCTTTTTGTAAAGATTTCTGAGACTTAAGAAGAAGTTCACTGCGCAACTCCCTATTCTCCTGAAGCAGTGCTTCAATCCGTCTATGGAACGCTAACTGAGTCAATAAATAATATTATGATCTTAAATACCTCGTTCTTCAGAAGAGCTTCTTGCAATTCTTCAACACTAATTTGCTTGGGCTTTTGTTTAACAGGCTGAAGTTATTTACGTTATTTCGTGAAGTATTACCTTTTTTACATCATCATTAGTATCAGAAACGAGCGATGAAGGGGGAGCTTCTGTAACAAAATATGGTCAATTCAATATTTCAAAACCTTTCACAGCTTCATGTTCATTTGGTACATGGAGCTTCTTTTCAAAATTCGAAAAAAAACCCGGAGCCAGACTAAAGCAGCAACCATTAAGGTACTTCAGGAACATACTGCTCCAGATTCACCGATAGATGCAGCATATTCTTTAAAAAGCTGAATTGTTTCGTTGATCCTATCTATTGGTAGGTAGTCTTCTATGGTTATTTTCGACAAGGAATCTTTGAATTCGTCATATTTCTGAACTTATTAAGGAAATAAAGCCTAGTACCTTAGATATCGTGTACGAGCCACCAACACCCGCACCCACAACAAGGTAGCGTAGCTTTAGAAGTCTTGATGCCAGCTTTCCGATTTGGCCAGCTATATTTCTTTTTTGAAAAACCAAGGGACCGACATTATTGCAACGTCTAGCCAGCATTTCTAATCAAAATCTCTATACTTTTAAAATCATGCCGAAATTCACGAAGCGCACAGTCGGAAAACAGCGCTTAGTTTTGTCCAATAAATCCTAAATTCAATATGCTAGTTAAGAACTAGTATGACCAGTTAAGTACTTAACACGCTTATTTTGAAGCTAAAATATTGGGAATGACTTTTAATCAATGCGGTTTATCTCGCCATTTGGCTACAGCATTTCAAGCTTAAGATTTTGCAGCATTTTATAAATCCCCATAATAAATAGCCCTGTAAGTTTTCGACATTGGGTGCTGATCACATTAGTTTTAATGGACTCACCTAGCTGAAAGAACCCGTTCATGCATCCGCACCAGTTCACGAGTGGGAACGCCGTGCTCAACAACCCCTGCAATTGCTGGCCAGGTTAGACCAGATTATCCTCGATATTTTGATAGTCTATCCAATATATCTCCGAACCTACTCTCTTCTGTCTTTTGATTTTACTTGGTGGATACGATTCATATTAGACATGTGGTGTGTGCTACTTATATTGACGTAAGTAATATATGACTTTGGTCGTGAAGAGGTCTGGCAGCAGAGAGACAAGAGTATCGAACAGTAAACAATGGAAACAGGATGCAGTTTTTATGAAACTGCTAGAACAGTGAAGTCTGAGTCATTTTGAGACAATTGGCGGACATTTCGCAAATTAAGCACTTGCTTTATGATTGTTAGATTTTATTAACAAGTCCTATAATTTTGTGTTGAATACATTCGGTTGTCCACAGTGGTGTTCTAGTTCACTGCAGGTGTTCATGGTTAAAGCGTTATCAAACTCCGAATGCCTGTGGCATCTTCAATGTATAGGTCAATGGTTGAAAAATGTACCTAAGCGCTCAAATGTTATCATACAGTACATACCACGTAAAAAAATATATCGGCAAACAATGCTGAGTTTACGTGGCCTCATGTGTAAATTGTTGCATTTTTTGTAAAGTTGCTTGGTGGTAAATATATTCTAACAATAATTATTCGACATTGATGCTGATATTCAGAACTAGTTCTTGGGGTAAGAAGTAAATGGTCTATGGTTCCCAAGGTAGATTGTGGACTTATTCCATCATATCAATAGAAGGGAATAAAGAAATAATGAAATTCTTTCGGTTTTTCCTTAAAAGCATGTAGCAATGAGTAATTTTTACGATGAATCGTTTTGTAAGTATTCGACATTGATTCTGACCTCGTTGGCTTCACTGGGTACACCTCAACCAAAGGCGCTCAGTCACGCTCCGCACCAGATTACGAGTGTGAATGACTTGCTGTTCATCCCTTGGAACTAGTAGTCGTCTTAGATCAAACGTTCCTCAACATATGGATATCTTTCAAAATATATCAAAACCCTCTTCCATTCTGATGCCTGATTTGACTGTTTTGGTATCCTTCGATTGTGACAGTGTCACGAGTACGTGCATCGTCCAATTCGGAATGCCTGTGGCGTCTTTAGATGTAACATGCGTACATCAGTCACTTATGTTTTCTTGAAACCTAAGGAAACGCGAACCACGCAAATAGTTCAGTAAGCGTGTTTATGAACACAGAACAAGTGTTAACGATCATGTGTGTATCACCAAATGAATAGTAAAAAGAAAAGAGAAAAGTTAAAAACGAATGAGAAAATAAGCCATTATTGCAGTAAGATTTTTTTTGATAGGATTAGTGTTATCACAGTTATAGTTTGGGACGATGCCATGAAATTCTCAATTAATTGCAAAGTATAATCAAATATGTATGAGTCATATATAAATGGTGAAGATAAAAGGAATCTAAAAAGTCAAATTATTCATGTGTAACACAAGTTGTTGTTTTTATTACGCACCTCTGAATATTAGAAAAAAATATTTATTTAAAAGATAAAAAAGAAAGAAATGAAATGAATGCCTCTTGACATGGTTCAACTATATAATAAGAATGTGATGAATATCGACCTCTGAAGTAAACCATTCATATTTTAAATCTTCTACTGCACTTGGGTGAATATATGGTAATCCCTATGATAGAATTCAGAGTAAAACATGGTATGAGCATAAACTTTTGCTCAGTAATAATTTAGGACGAAGCTACGAAAGTCACAATTAATTGAAAGGATAATCAAATTTCAACTTCTATGTGCTATATATATATATATATATATATATATATATATATATATATATATGGTAAACATAAAACGAATCTGAAAAGATAATTTATTTAAATGCAACACACGATCATTTGCTTTTAGCTATAAAGTTTGGATGTTCAGGAATAAAGTATATCGAATGTGTCGGGCGATCAATCACGATAATAATGACAATAATAATCATAAATACGAGCATAAGCAGATTTCAGATATTAAGATGAACAGAAAGAAAACAAAGCAAAATAAACGAGAAGTTTCAAAGGTTATACTTTGCGTTTCAGTCAATTGGATTGATGACGGACCTTATTTATATAAATCATTGTTAAGCACTTTGATATTGAATAAGTGACACAATCCATTTTCGGAAAGAAGAACATCAACGAGACTTCTTAACCGTGATATGGTTTCACTGAAACGGAGGTTCACTGATAGTCTGATAGTCTGCATGATTGAGTAGCGAACAACGAAAAAATCCTGGCGTGTGTGCAAGTTCACGGGATCGCGTAGGTTATGGGCTGATATTATAGAGTACGAAGGAGTGGATGCCGAAGAATAAATAATACCATTTATAAGCCGATATATGGAGACAAGGTTTAATTTGATACGTCTGATCCATAGACGCTGTAACTTGAGTTCTTGACATCTTTGCTGATAATGCTTGTTGTCGGTACAACCCAAAACACCTTAGTGAACCCTTTTTGAACATCTTCAATTTTAACCTGGTTATTATGCCTTCAATTACTACAAACTAGAAATATATAAGATGCATTTTTGTATAGTAACAACCTTGATTCGATATTATTCAATTTTATTATTATGAATCCAATAACCTCTCTAGCTTTTGATACTTGAGATGCAATGTGCTCAGAAAAGTTCAGACTGCTGTTACATCTCAAACTCAAGTTAAGAACAGTGTTGAAAGCTTTCAGTGTATGTTTTTATTTAGATGGATTTAGGTAAAGGCAGCGGCCAATGTGAATAAATCCACTCATGTCAACATTCGGTGTTAGATTACACGAAACAGTCCATTGGTACAACTTGCTTATTTCTTCTTGGATTACCGGAAAATTTAGATTTCTTTGGCGGTAGAAAAGAATGAATAAAGTTCTACTCAGTGAAAAAACAGTGATGAAACAGAGAAAGTTAAATGGGCCAATCACACTTCCTTGTATAACACAACTGGTTACATTCACAAGCTTAGAGTAGCAAAATCCGAAGCGAACGATTTTGCTACGTTCTGCTAAAAAAGGATTTGTGCCGAGACAAAAGGGGATTCTGTATGCTGAAACAAGAAAGTTTTAGGACACGAAGTTTCTGTGAAACACTGTCGAAGACCTTACTAAAAGCAAAGTACAGAATTCTCACTGACTAACCAACATCTCTTTTCTGGGTGATTTGATCGCTCAATTCAAGATGCGATATGAGGGACGAGCGTTGCTGTTGGTTGACAGTTGTTTTGAGTTCCATATGTTCTTCAATTGTAAATTTGCTGCTCTTGCTTTGCCCATTTTCGCCTCCACAACTGCATCAGATCCACCATGTTCGTCAATGATGCTGTCCAAATATGTAATGGTTTTTACATCTTCCAAATCTTCTCCGTCAATTGTGATTCGATTGTTGCATGTTGTGTTGTATCGGAGAATCTTGCTTTTCCCTTCGTGTATGTTGAGACCTACTGCCGCTTAGGCTGCTGCTACACTGGTCATTTTCTCCTGCATTTGTTGTTGCGTGTGCGATAGACGAGCCAGATCATCTGTGAAGTCTACGTCGCCCAGCTGCATTCTTGCTGTCCACTGTATCCCATGCTTCCCCTCAGATATTGACGTCCTCATGATCCATGCATTCGATCACCAGGAGAAAGAGAAAGAGTGAGAGTAAGCAACCTTGTCTGACACAGGTTTTTGCTTCAAACGAGTCTATGAACTGTCCTCCATACACAATCTTGCGGTTTAATCCATCATAGGAATTCCGTATGATATTGATTATCTTCTCAGGCACGCCGTAGTGTCGAAGAGGCTTCCATAGTGTTGTTCTGTTCACGCTATCAAATGCTTTTTCGTAGTCAATGAAGTTGATGTAGAGTAATGAGTTCCATTCAATTGGTTGTTCCACAATGATCCGTAGTGTTGCGATTTCGTCAATACACGATCCTTACTTAATCTAGCCTGTTGAGCGTCAACGGAGTCCTGCATCCTGTTTAACAATGCCCTGTTGAAGGCTTTCCCTGGTACTGAGAGAACGGTGATGCCTCTGTAGTTATCACAGTTACTGAGATCGCCTTTCTTTGGTATATTGATCAGGTGTCATTCTTTCCAGTCTGATGGTACATGTTCTTCATCCCAAATCTTGCTGACGAGAATGTGGAGTATCTCTGCAGTTACTGCTACATCTGCTTTCAGTGCCTCTACTGGAATGCTGTCTGGACCTGCTGCTTTGCCACTCTTTATTTGTCTGATGGCCATGCTGATTTCTTCAATTGTTGTTGGGCCAACATCGATTGGGAGGTCCGTGGGTGCCATTTCGATGTTGGGTGGGTTCAGTGGGGCTGGTCGATTCGAGAGCTGTTTGAAGTGTTCTACTCACCTGTTTCGTTGTTCTTCAATGTTGGTGATTACTTTGCCTTCCTTGCTCTACATTGGTCGTTCTGGTTTACGATAATTTTCATCGAGTTCCTTTGTTGTATCATGCAATTGTCTCGTGTTTCCTTCTCTTACAGCTTTTTCCACCGTCATTGCTAAACCCTCCACATATTTAAGTTTGTCGATTCTGATCCTCCCCTTCACCTGCTTGCTTACTTCTGTGTATTCAGCTTGTTTCTTGGCTTTCTCTGCTCTTGTTCAACTGGAATTGATAGTTGCCTTTTTGTTCTTCATTTCCTGAATATCTTATCCAGTGTATCAACAGTGATCCATTCCTTGCGGTGGTGCTTCTTGTGGCCCAGAACCTCATGGCATATTGAAGTGATTACCTCTTTTATTCCTTTCCAGTTGCTCTCCATGGTAGTTCCGTTTTCATTGAGTAGATCATGAAAGGTCTGGAATCTATTGCTGAGGGCTACCCTGAACTTTTTGGGTTTGTCAGTATCCCGAAGAAAAGCTGTATTAAACTTTTGTGATGTTGTAGACCCCGTTTTCAACTGCTTTTTGGGTTTCAGTCTCATCTTGGCGACCAGCAATTGTTGATCTCTTGATTCTCACATCCTCCATCGGCCTTCTGAACGTTTTGTTGATGTAGACATGGTGGATTTGTATCTGTGTAGTGTGATCCGGTCAAATCCATGTTGTTTTATACGTGCGTTTACGTGGGAATATGATGCTGCATGTGATAAGTTTATTGAAGGCACATAAGTTTGCGAATCTCTCTTCATTTTTGTTCCTTTATCCTAGTCCGTGTTGTCCCATGACGTCTTTATATCGGTGTGGTCCATTAGATGACAATTATTGTAATACCCTCTTTCTTTGTTTTGAAGGAGGTTTTGCTGATCCTGGAACTATAAGATTTCGAATCACAAGTGCTTTTTGTGCTTGTTTGGATAGCATCAATCCAACGCCTCGTGTATTTGGAGCATTTACTTCTTCATGACCGGTGTATAACAGTAGCTTCAGTGAAGCTAGACTTTGTTGATTGTTCTTGTTCGGCTGTTTATAATTACTATCTTAATAAAAGTACATATTTATATTGTGTTTACAGCGATGAGCAGTTCTACGTACATTGATTAAATAATGTATAAAACTCTGGAATTCGAAAGATTCATAAAAATAAAAGATATATGCAGGCCAAAACTGAAAGAAACTAAATCCTAAGCCTAATGTTGTAGAAGCTAAAAAACAGCCCAATTATTTTTACAATCATAAGAACTAGGAAACAATACAGTAGGGACATTTATTATTGTATCAAACACAAGCGTAGATGAATAGTAGCAATTATTACATAGATATGTTTCCTTTAAGATAAAATAAACTCACAATTTTATCAGTCACAGGAACATTACGAGCTTGAAGATTACGTCTAATAGTAGTTAAATAAAAAGGCGTAAGTCAAAAAATAGAAAAGAATCTTCGATTGCCAAATTAGTCACTTTCTTAAAATTTGCCACAAATAAGGGTCAAAAAGCTAGTTAAATGGAAACATCGAAAGAATTCCTCGTAAACACGTGCTTTAAACCCACACTTTAATCCTTCACTATAATAAAGAATTCCAAAAGCACTCAAGATTGCCATTCCACTCTGGAAGCCAGACACTTTCGTGGAATATAACAACTATCAATTTTATTTGCGTATTTCCTTTCCGTATTTCATTATTTTTATACAGGCAGCGGAGCAGTTCTTCAGGTTTGACTGATTTTCATTATTGCTTTTGAAGTGGATTCCCTATTATTTTTCACTTGAGGGCGACTCAAGAGGCAGGTGAGTAAACACGTGACAGCCAGACAAAGCATAGGAAAATCATACCTCAACGGCATTGTGTTGTGTAACCCACCCGCGGCACTTCCTCAGATATTCTTGTTTCATTTCATCACCCCCTTTTCTCTTACAAGCTTTGGCCGCCATACAGAGGGAATATAGCGAACCATCGGCGATAGTTTTGGAAGAAATTAAATGCTACGAGATAAAATAGCAAGCTGGTAGGGGAGGAGACACTCATGGATTAACGTCGAATGCTGACGGAATTGGTCGTCATTGACTAAAAGTCAGAAGGCGAACGAGTTATTATTTCTCCCTTGGGCTACGGGAACAAAACGCAGGTGTTCTTGTTAGATAGGTTAATCGAACCTCTGTACCTACAGAATTCGATTCTAGGAGAAAGCTAAAGTAACAATTTAGGTTGATTGGATAAGAGTTGACTTCAAACAACTAAGTATATGTTAAAACAATAGAGCTCAACTCTTCATTGACTCCCTTATTTCGGATGGGCATTATATCTACTATTAGATTGCAATGAATGTTGAAAAGCTTTGTGTGTTTCAACAGGTAACCTTGCGCTCCACTGTGACTCTCTCACGAGCTAAATAAAGTCTCTCGAAAGAAGCCTGTATTGAAGGATTGTGATGCTGTTTGCTCATTCGTCCAATGCTTCTTTAGTTAAAGTTTCCTCCCAGTACTCCACATTGTCCGGATATTCCACTTACTTTAAGTAGTTGTTACTCATCACTTCTTGACTTTCAGCATGTAGTGTCATGATTTTTCTGTATGAAAACTCTTCAACCCAGAGGGCAGGGTTCTAGTGGTTTAAATTTTTCTTTCTGCCGTCTTTTTTTAGCAACGTTTTTTTTTCTAAGTGATGGAGCTGCTGACTCCATACCCAACGACCCTTCTTTAACCAGGCTCATGACTGGCAATAACCCTAGAATAGATACAGGCAGAGCTATCATTGCCTGTTATTGTTATACTTTCCACCAGTTAATTTTTTTAAAGAGACTTGTTTACCAATTCTGTTGAATCTCACCGTCCCTTATCTTTTCGCATCAGAGGTGAAAACAAAATCCATGATAAAAATACCAGATCTGTCTTCTAGTTTGGTTGAATAATTATTAAAAGTTATGGTGCATCGAAACTGTGGACTTCATGTCTATACCTTGGAAATCCATCCAAAAACATCCATACTTAGCCATATGTGAAGGAAACAATGTATACTTTCTTTCACAAATGTCAGAGTTGCCAATTGATGGCGGTAGAATATCAGAAAATTTCGATCTCATCAGTTGACCTAACAGCTTATGAAGCTCATGTTTTAGAATAAGTTGTGTGAATATATAAAATTTCGAGTCTACAAACATTCATTACTCCACATATATTTGTCAAAAGCAATCGTGTTATTATTATATAAGATTTATTATAAAAAAACTCGTTCAGAATGTCTAATTTGTTTGAATCATGCAAACTAATAGCTTTATCCTTATGAACTTTTAGCGGTGGGATGAACAAGATGACATCTCATCTGGAATTTCCGTAATCGTGTTAGCACTAAACTTATTATCAGTTTTTTTTCAATGCAATCCAATTTGCCTTTAAATTGTTCTTTGGAAAATAAGTTGGAACACCTAAATTTATGTGGAAACGCATTCGGATATGGCCATAATTCTTCTTCGCAATATAAATTAAGGGATAAGACTGGTTATCCCCCAGACACACCGCAGAAGTATGTCAATGACATGAAAACAGCAAGACACAACACAAGAGCGATGTTGTTTGATTCTGAAAGAGGCCCTTTGAGCCCGAAAGCTACTGAAAATAATTATTGCAGTAAGTGAGATGACACTTTGAGTTTTCTAGTGAACCTAGATCCAGCTAAGATTAATTTGTAGACTACTTCAGCAACTTTTGTAGCACAATTCCGCTATCTTATTTTTCACCAATTCGAGCGTTTTCACGTATACGCCGTTGTATATAAAAAAGTATTTTCACTTATACAGCTACTTATTATCTCTATACATTTTTAAACTAAGTTTATGTAGACAACCAAAACAATTTTTTGTTTTGATGTCATAGAAATATCTATTTGGAAGTAGAGATAACTACCTTAGTTCCAATGGGCCTTGGAGTAAACTCAGTCATTAGTCCTTTAGATTTGCAGTGTTTAGGATTGTACTATGTATTGATAAAATATTTCGGGCTGTTTAATTCTCATTTTGCCAACATTTACTTTGTATATGAGCGCCAATAATATTGGATCGTATGTTTCAGCGTTCCATCCATTTACGTTGTAGCTGACTGACTGTCTAGCCTGAAGCTGTGTGCGTAGAAATCAACGTGTGTTAGAACCTAAAATGGTAAAGAATAGGAGAACAAACAGCCTGTTCACTCTGGTGGTATGTAAAATAAGCGTACATTAAGTAATTAAAACGATTGATGACAGTTTGTAGTAATAAAGAAGTCAGACTAAGACAACCTAATAATTGAAACTAGAAGTTGGTAGGTTGAGGCCATATATTCATTACAAAATTATGATTCACAACTAAAATGCTTATCTCAACTATTTTTAAATGAACCGACACAAAAAACCATATCTTTTCTTCAACCGACATCAGCCCTCCGACATGAAGTTATAATCACGAAGTTCGGCTAACTATATATTCAAGGGCCGGCTTTCATCTTAGGTCACGTATAATCAATAATTTACCTGGAGTAAAATAAGCTATTCGAAAAATAATCGAAAATAAAAATCATCTTTAGCCATAGCGTTTTAGGAAAGAACTCGGTCGTTTTAAAAGAAGATAATATATAACACAATCTAAAATTTGTAGAAAGGAAGGTTTGTGAGTTTTACTTTATAATATAAAATCATATGTTATTCACATCTCATGAGAAAAATAAAAAAAAAACATTATTAAAGCATATTGTTACGGAAACACATTTTGTCAGAAAGCGTCCTAGCTTCTTGTCTATCGTTACACCATGAAAGTCAGAAAAGAGTTACTTTCTTCTTACAAAACATTGACTGCAGTAAGGTATTCTTATATTTTAGATTACTCAATAAAAAAGGTAAGATTCACTCAAATGGGATCCTGCTTGGCCTGTGATCACCACATGTAGTGAATTCTTTACTCTGCTATGCTTCCATTTGTCACTATTCTAATCCGTACAAATCGAGACGTAAGACTAACTTCTGGCTATTTGAGTCAATGCTAACAACTCAATTTGCTTCTAAGTAGTAAGAACAGTTAGTAATACATTCGGAAATAGATAATTAAAATAATGTGATGAAAGATGCATATACTCCTTTATATTAAACATCTATGTATTAAACCACGAAAGAGTAGAGTAAATTATAGTTTAAAGGTTACATTGTTAATTAAGTTTGTTAGAGTAAGTGTTGTTATCTCAGAAAATATCTCCAATAGTTTTGCCGAAAGTTATGATTTTTTAAACTGCATTTAATCATGCAAAATTTTAAAAGGAACCGATGATACAACAGTTAAAGCGTTATGAGTAAGATACTTCAGTTTGGATAAATTTATTAAATGAAATTGCTAACTTGACTGCACATGAAATGTAAAGCGAAATTCTGTCATGACAATGCATAAATGTTTCCTTCGTCTATTGATTAAAATCAGCCAGTAGCGCAAACCGTTTCAAAATTGAAAACATTTGCGTAAGGTGTAAAACTATCAGTCGGTCATATGTTTCAAATTTATCATTATAAATGAAACATTTCAGAATTGATTTTTCGAAAGTTCTATATATACGCCAAATATGTTACTCTGGTTGAAAAATGTTAGTATGCATTTGATTTATTTAGACATGGAATGTACTTTAATCAGATACGTTTTTAGTATCAACTGTGGTTGTAAATGCGATTTATAATAAGATGATTTGGTTGCACCGCCATCACTGATTTTTAGACGATTATATACTACTCGACAAAGTTCGTAATCTGTTTTACTAGTCTTGAGGTCATAAGCTAATATAACTTTGTTGTCACATTTTGTTTAAACTTATTGTATAACTTTGTAAATGTAACTTTAAAAAGCTAAAATATCACAATAATAAGTGTGAGCAGTTCACCTTGAGAATTTATGATAGTTTTCTGGTATAGCATGCGATGAGTGTTACTGTTTCGTTGATGAACTGTATAATTGCCTTAATTCATTCCATTCAATACTCTAACTGTAAGAACAATAAATAATAACCTGTTTGTATAAAAAACTCTACTTTATAATTTCATAAACTTGATGAATTAAACTTAATTTGGGCATATTTTCGGAACATGAGGGAGGCAGAAAAGATTATGACTTTCATACTCAAATATTTTAAATCTTTCACCACTTTTTACGAGATACTGATTTGAATGTCGTTACTTGAGAATTAATTTACATTTTTTGTATTAATAATTTTTACTCCATTATTTTTAAGATATCGCTTAATATTTCCTCATATAATTGATATAGGAGCAAGTCCTAGCCCTATGGTTAACAGACCAAGTACAGTTTTTAGCCCAGTCGGTGGACCTTCAAGTTCATTTGAAAAAATTCGTCAAGATCTTCTCCAATCAGGCCATTTGTTTTGCGATTCTGCTTTTCCAGCTGATGACTCAAGTCTTTATTACAGTCAAAGACCACCATGTCAAATTGTCTGGATGCGTCCAAGTGAAATAGTTGCTGCGAACAGCGGAGGTGGTTCCATGGGTATAACCCCAAGAAAGATATCAACACCAGAATTCATTGGTGAAGGTGGAATCAAACTCGGCGAACTGAGACAGGGAGAATTAGGTTAGTCATCTACTTGTAGAACTATTAATTTTCGAATACTTAATATAGAAGTACACGATATTCGATATTACATTAGTCATTATTATTAGCTTTATTCAGTATTATGTTTTTGGTACAATATAGAATCCTCAGCACAAAGTATTTCAGCGAGTTTCCGTTTCTTATTTCTTGATTGATATTGACGTTAAACATTGAGTGATCGCCAGTTGGATATTAGCATTTTATAGATCGACATCTAAATAACACTCATTCTTTTCAATGCACATCGCCAGCCATCACAATGTCTTCTATTGTAAATTGTTGTAACGTGCAGCAAAATGTCGTAAACTTTCACAAACACACACGAATAGGTTATGCAATTATTTGACATAATGATCTGTTAAAAAAACAAGGAAGCATATAGCTTGTTGAAATATCTAGATGGCAGGAACAGATAGCCCAGATATTCAAGTACGCCGTCCGTATGGAAAAGGATTTAAATGCGGATGAAATTACGAATGATTATCTGAATACCAGGAAACACTTTTAAAGTAATAAAAATTTATTCAGTAAAATACGAACAAAAGTCCAGTAGGATTAGCAACGAATGCATGACAATAGTAATCGCAAAAGTGTGTTTATTACTGTAAGGAGTCAAATAATTAGCAGCAACCAAATAGAAAAAGTTGATCAGAGGTAATAGTTATACTGTAATTAACTTAAGGTTTGATTTTCATTTTTGATTTAAATTAGACTTCGTTTCGCAAACAAACTTTAAAGTTATTGATCGTTACCAAATAAGTGTGCGAATAAATTTAATCATTCTATAAGTATCAGTGAATACAAAAAATCATGGAGAAAGTTTATTGGCAATAACGTTCATGAGCCAATTCACAGGAAACTATGTAAGTAATACGAGGGTCTTGAACATATATATAATTACCAAATAACCCTCGTGACTCTGAATATGTTAGTAGCTGAACGTTTCCTACAGTTTTGATAAATATTTCACTATATCTAATACTAAATAGAAATTCTGGTTAACAAATATAATGGATTTTGTTCTAAGTCCCCATTTTCACTTCAAGCGCTCAATGTAATTAAAAACAGTCCTTTTTCTAGATATTTGTCTGTTCCGTATATTTTTTGATAAACAGCATATACCCACACTTATGTAGCCGGCTGTTTAGTCTGTTTCACCAAGTGAGTCATACAATTAATGATACCAATCAGTTTTTGTTTTAAATTTGTAGGAGATTGTTGGGTAGTTGCTGCATTGGCTGCTATAGCCAGCCAACCGAGTCTTCTTAGTCGTACTATTCCTACTGGACAGTCTTTTCGAGTAGAATGGTATGCTGGCATATTTGCCTTTCGATTCTGGCGTTTTGGGCGTTGGGAAGAAGTTTATATTGATGATCGTCTTCCAGTTAAATCTGGTGGTCAACCATTGTTTGTACATTCTGGACGTTTAACAGAATTTTGGCCAACGTTATTGGAAAAAGCTTACGCAAAGTTAGTTAAATATTTCTGTTCAGTAATTCATTCATTGTATGAGTATTTTTGAATATCATTACAAAATTCTGATAAATTTGACTATTCACTGCTTCATTTAGAACTATTTATATACTATTATGAAATGCTAAGGTGCTTCATGATCACAGACGCAAATTACTAGGTTAATGGCGTTGTTTATTTATAATTCTTGCGAAAACTTAATTCCTACAGTTTGTAACGAAGAGAGTTATTCTAAAGTAATACGAGGTAGTACTTGCAAAATAATGAAGTTACTAACAAGTACTTTCTAGTTACTTTTCTTTTCTAGTTGATGGTGCTATATTACAGAATTATTGAAAATATACATGAAAATAGACAACACACGATTGTTGGTAGAATTTGTATTTATGGTTCTTTAATATAATACTATTTAGAGAGATCAGTTTCAACCCCTGTACACTAATTCAAGAGTTAAAGTAAATTTTGAGATTTTGAAACAATTTTTGTTTTACTTTAATCATTTTGTCGCTTATTAAGCTTAGAAAATCAACATGGTGAATGACAACATATTAAATAACCTGAATTGAAAAATAGATGATATTGAAAGTTATATAAATGGGGGCTTTCAATTAAGAATCATTACTGCTTAAGTAGTGTTTGTCTTGGATGTATATACTGGGTTCAATTATGTCGTAACTTGTACATCTTGAAACTTTAGTCAATAATTATCCGTAAAGTCCCAACTTAAACATTTGTCTATTTGTCAGTGACTCTGCCCTGGAGCTTCTCTAGGGTTACTGCCGGTCCCATGCCCAGGTAGAAGAGGAGGGTTTGGGGAAGGTTTAACAACCTCAACCCGTAAGATGGGACCCCCAACTATAAAGAACTGGTTGAATGTGGAGGGAGAAGGGCATTCATAGTGAAGAGTTACTATGCCTCGTGGCGAAAGTCGTGAGTCTCTGAAAGCCATAAGGCTAACGCTCCTAACAAGCAGGGAAACGATAGAACTAGAGCCGTGGAATGTTTAAATATCTAGTTTCAGTGACTCGTTTTAAATCTTGAGTTGTTTTATTCAACTTAGCTGATTAATTTTCAGTTGACGTCATTTTTTACCGTCGAAATTTATTTTGGAAAAATTTCAAACAATTTCAGACTAAATGGGTCATATGAAGCTTTGAATGTTGGACTTGTCGGAGATGCAATGGATGATCTGACTGGTGGTTTAACAGAATCATATACACTTCCAGGGGCAGAAGACCACGGACTTCAACCTCCATCCGACTTAGACGATATATTAATAAAATCGTTTGATCGTCGAAGTTTGATTACAGCTCGCATAAAGGTTTGTTAATTTTCTTGCTTTCTTGTAGTTATAACTTCAGCATTTCGTTAGATAACCACGTAGTGGATTTTAATATTTTAATTAATTTCTTTATTTTTACTTCTTTCTCTCATACGTTACCAATGTGGGTTATGAACGCTAGGATTGATTTACTCACTTTCGTCAATTAGCCGTAGGTTTTGTGTTGTTTTAGTAAATCTCTAGTGATCTCAGAGATTTGATTTCGGTTTGTGATCTTTGATTGGCTGTAGAAATATTGATTATAATAAGTTGATTTTCAGAAATATATCACCAAATGATGTGAAAACACCTACATTGGTTCATGTTTTATTTTAACACAGGATAACATTTTTGCTGAGTAATACTCGACTAACTTGGCTACAAAAACATGGTCGGTTGTAAGAAATGTTGAATTGAACCGTGAATTTTAACTTGTTCATTCTCTCTAACACACATATATTTTAGGCTTTGTTAACAAAAGAAGTTAATACGTAAAGAGAAATATAAGGTGCAATTGTATTTTAGCTAGTGAATTGATGATTGTAAATTTATATTCAATAAAATTTGAAATGAATTTAAATCAACGTTTTTCACTTTGAAAAACTACATTTTGCAACGACAAACTTTTGTTTATACTGATTTCACAATAGAGATTTAATTTCAATTAAGCAAAAATAGTAACTTATTTTTAGATATTTAGATAAACAATACATTGAACCTAATAAAGTATGCTCAACGTAGATGTGAGTAGAATACGTTAATTAATCCAAAAACACAGTCGTAACATCTCTAATTGCATTAACGAATGATAAGAATTCTAATGTCCGTGGTGCATAGAGTCCGTCATTTTTAAAATTCTGTATAGCTGACTAGTGTTAGATAATAAGAAAACTAGACCTAGTATTTTCAATCGTTGGCTTATAATTACTTAACAATAAAAAAGTACACTAAAACATCAAGTCATTTAACTAAGTATTACTCTATAGTAAACGTCAATAACATCCTATGAATACTAAATATTAAGCATCGTGGTATATGTTATTACTAGGTGACCGACCGTTGGGAACAAGCGATTAATGCTCTTAAATATTGATGACAAAAACGATGACAAGACTAGTAAATAAAAGCTTTTGAATCTTATGTTTATTGTCAACCAAGAAATGTCTAATGTGTTAGTTGTTTAAATAGACAAATGTTAATCACAGTTGTGAGTCTGATTAGATGAACTACTTAATACGGGATATTTTCCACTTGATTCAATATGAAATTGCAAAACGATCATCTCGTTAAATCTTTCAGTATGAATTTGATCACAGCCGTACATTTAATAATTCGTTATTTAATATTACAGAAAAGTGCTTGAATGAACCTAGTTTACTTTGTTAGCGAAACAGTTGTAGATAAATTTAAAGAGTTGCATAAACAATAATAAAGGAAGTTTTTGAGTTAGTATTTATCTTAAACCTTCCTTAGTTAAAGAGCCATTCAAAAAAAAATCTTAGATCGTATGTCATGAACATTTTTATTCAGATTATGCAAGCCTTTACAACTATCTTATTAAATAATGCTCTGATAACATTCAGTGACTTATTTTGAAAAAGATTAAGTTAAAAGATGTAATCTGTTTAATCGACGAAATAGGAAATCGATTAGCTTTATTAACTATTTGAATCGATCCAAATAGTAAACTATGAACTAACTTATTTGAACCCCATGGCTGAATACCATGTTGTGGTCGTTGCATGAAACGATGTTCATTGGTCTACAAATTATCTCTTTGACGTTTAGCATTTAGTATTTTTACAAGTTCTTTCTTTTCTAAGAATTTTTAATAATTTCTTATCTTATTTTAGTCAAACTAATTAAAAACAAACAAATCTTTATAAATATCTGACTAAAGTTTTACTAGATTTTATTTAATATTTCCCCAACTGCTGTGAATAGAAGAAATATAATCATTTGTTTTCTAATTTTGTTCTACTCTTTTCACTTTAAATCGTCAACTGTTAGTTGTACTAATGGTTAATGTCTTGTTACTTTACTGTTAATTAAATTTCACAAAAACCAAGTCATAGTTAATTTAGATATCCTAAGATAGTTTCACTACGGATGTACACCATCTGAAGAGCTAGCAATTGATGAACAATTACTGCGTCCAGTATTGGATTTTCACAACTGTGTACACAAATGCGAGTTACTACCTGTTTATTGGTTTGAAGTTTCAAAAAACCTGAAGATCAATCGGATATATTTTACTGTACAACCTCTTTGCATATTTTCTGTCTCTAATTGATGAAGATAAAATATACTCTATTTTTAATTTCGTATATAATAACTCCGACTAGCCATATCGTGTATAGGTGGTATTTGGAAGTTAAATTATAAATATAGGTAGAAGAATATATTTCACGCATCCACATAATAACCGTCAACCATGCAAATCTGGATATATCTGGCGTCAAATCGTTTATTTAATTTTATGCCAGCCCATATGGCTCAAATAGACAAAGATAATATAGACAAACGGACATAGATAAACACACATAACATGGTTACAAGTATGAAAGGTCAGAATTAACTGTGTGTGGATACATACAACATAACAAATAAGATTACGATGTCTGTAATGCTCATAATAGGTCTTGAATCAACATATCATGTCAGTTCATGATATAACTGTAAATTTGATTAACTGCTAATGTTCTGGGTGTATATTGGGTTGCTATTCTATACAGCTTATCTCCACAGGTTTTCTTATCAATAAGACCTTTATATCGAAGATAATTTTGCTTGTTGTGTCATGCTTTTTTAAAAATTTCCACTGGCGTTTTTTCATTAATTAAATATTTGCCTTGTTTATTAACTTATTTTAATTGGAATCAGACTAAAGGAGTACCTGGTCCAGGTTTTGTCATACCGGTAGGATTTGTACCTGGTCAAGCATTTGGTTTAACAGATTGTCGAAAGCTTCGATTGACGGATGCATCAGGAAGTCGTTTACTCCGTTTAGTTCGCTTAAGAAATTTATGGCCTTCAGTTCGTGTGGACTGGACAGGTGCATGGTCAGAGGGTTCAACAGAATGGCTTAGTCTTCCACCACAAGACCGTTTAAAAGTTGGCTTGGTGAAAGCTCAAGAAGAGTTTTGGTAATAAATTTATGATAATTTGTTTTTGATTGGCTTTCTATTTTGAATTGGATTAATCTGCATATTTTAAAGCGCAAAATAAAGCCTGCTATTACATTGTTTTGATGACATTTTACATACTAATTCCAACGGCAATTTATAATTTACTTTTTTTCAGTTTTGAAAACGGATAAATATTATATATATCAATATACTTCGTAATTATAACTTTCTTAGCGTACTCAGTTGCATCATTTAATTTAATCGATTTTAATACTTTACAAGTTAGATTTAAGGTATATTTTAGCATTATATATGTATAATTTCCTTGTCTATGTTGAAATCGTTAGCGAACGTTAACCAACCACTCCTGGTAGTGAAAATATAACTCAGGTTTCGTGAATGTGAAAGGATTGTTAATCACCTTCAGATTTTAACCGAACTAATTTATTTTCAGTGAGATTTACCTTTACACCAAACAAATTTTCTTAAAGCGGACCAAAATTTATAGTGTTTATCTACTGTATAAGTTTAATTTTATTCGTGTTGAATTTATAACTATCCGTCTATTTGTGTCGGTACATTTCAACTTTCCAGGATGTCCCTTGAAGATTTTATTGCCAATTTTGACTATTTGGATATTTGTCATCTAACAGAGCCACCTCCAGTAATTTCTAAATCTACTAGTGCTTATCATTCCTTACATAATTTCCCATCAGTTCACTTACGTGGTCGGTGGCTTCGAGGTGTGTCATGTGGAGGTCGACCATACATCCGTGCAAGTCACTGGGCGAATCCTCAATTTCGACTGGTAATTAATTCACCTGATCCAAATGATCCTGATGGTTTCGCTACAACCGTAATTGCTTTAATGCAAGCTGATCGTCGTCGTCTACGTCATCGTGCTCCTCGACTCGCATCTATTGGATTTGTTTTATATCGGGTACGCTGTATACATTTTTCGATTACTAATATAATTTTGCTTGAACATTTAGGGTGAAATATAACTTATGTTCATCTTTCCAAACATTAAGTTATGTATCTATACAACCTGACATTTGAGATATTCTTATAGCATTTTTTGACGAACTTTAGTATCACCAATGTTGAATAAACAAACTTATAGATTTAGTTATCTGTTTGAAAGGTTAATCATTCTAGACTGAAAATACTCCACTTTTGTTTCTTGCTTGTGTTTATTGATAGATGTTTCCTAATATATATAAGTGCTTCTTGTGAAAAAAAGATTTTGTTTGCATATACTGGCCCTCTGGACTATCATTACGTTAAAAGTATTAATGTCATATGTTAAGAACAAATGATTTTTGTCTCCAGTGTTTTAAACTGCAGTCCAACTCAACTTGAAAAATATTTACGACTGGTGGCAATGTCGAGGCAATCCTCTCAGAATGCTCATATGCCAAAGGAGACTGATCCCTTACAGTTCTTAACACCGACAACGCAAAGAATTAAACCCTTAATAATAAATTATCTTCTTCATAAATAACGTATTATATGTACAATCACAGTTTGTGTTGTTTTTCATCAGCTTGAAGATTGTGAAGCTTACTTTATTGTTTTTTTCTCACAATACACAGATTCACGAGTTTATTAATGTGAGCATAGATTTATGCATATAATTTCTCTTGTCAACCAATGATGTACTTGCGCAGTTTCCGCTATTCATGTTGCATTTGCGAACATATATTTATTTAATTCTTTGCAATAAATGAAGTAAATAGTATTTACTCAATCTTTGTTATACGTAGATAGTTTATTTAGAAAATCACCATAAACATATGAAAGTATTATTATTATTATTATTATTATTGTTATTAGTGTTCCATAATGCCACACAGATAGGCGCTTGGTCAATGAATTAAGAAGGCTGATAGTGAATACGGCTAATAATCTAAGATTTTATAAATTCACTAATTTTTTTTAACCAAATGGATCTAAAATGATCTTGAAGAATTATTTAAGTAGACATTGATTGCTTGGGAATGAAATACTAAAGCAGATAAGATTCGAATCAAAATACATGGTGATTAACCCGATCGAAGCTGCTACCTTGACGCGGTGGTCGGGCTTGCCTATCGTGATGACCCAACCGAGCTATATTGGCTGGAACATATGTTCCTGTAGGTTCTACCATGCCAGGCAGGTCGATTGGTGAACGGTAAGACTAAAAGCAGCAACTCAAGGTCTGAGGGCGAAGTCGTACTGTAGAGAGGTGTGACAGCAGTAAGGTGTTTCCTCGGACAACCAGCATGACAGCGATGCTGCCTTCCCACAAGGAGGGGTGGGGTTAGAAAAGGTCGACCCTAAAAATGTCACACCTCACCTTACCTCACGGATTTCCGTCTCCGGCGGTAAGGCCCTTTGAAGAACGGAGCTAACACGTCAAAAACCTTCCACAAAAAGGCCGTGCGCGACCGGCCTCAAGCAGTTGTCCCTTGGGCTCTGCGGTCACGCTCCCAGGTCGTCAAGACCAACACTAATCCAATTTCCTTTTCAGGTTCCTCAAGAAATACCCTTCCACGGTGTGGGCAGCCGGGAAGTGACATCAGCCCTCATACCCGTAACAGCACAAGAGACCAAGGTGGTCACATTCAAATCCTTCCTACACCTCCTAATACCTCTCTTATCTCCATGACTAACCCTCCTCACGTCTCTTTATCACCTCGCACCGCTAGGGCAAACGATTCGAGTACGTGGAACGCCATTCCTGGTCTCCTGAAACCACGCTCTAAACTACACGTAGGAGCTTTTAACGTACGAACACTTTGCCAAATAGGACAGCAGGCTTCCTTAGCTAAAACTTTAGAATCTCGCGCCATCGATGTGTGCTGCGTCTCCGAAACGCGCATACAGGATCCGAGTAGCGTCATTCATTTGACCTCACCATGCCAAAATAAAGAACCGACTCGATTTACGCTTCGTGTATCTGGAAGCCCTGATTCTGCTTCCCGTGGCCTCGCCGGCGTAGGTATAGCATTGAGTCCTAGGGCAGAACTAGCTCTCTTAGAGTGGATCCCAGTAGACAGTCGTTTGTGCGCTGTCCGACTGAACGGAACAGTAAGAATCCGGAAAGATAGGGACACTCGTCGTTGCCTCTTCGTCGTCTCTGCCTATTCTCCCACTGACTGCAGCTCAGATGATGTAAAAGATGAGTTTTACAGAAAGCTTTCGGACCTTCTCCGAAAAGCTAGGCGCTCGGATGTAGTAATAGTGGCCGGTGACTTTAATGCTCAAGTAGGTAAACTAAGCGATAGGGAAAGACACCTAGGTGGATCTTATGGTGTCGTGGCTCAAAGAACAGATAATGGCGACCGTCTGTTGCAGCTATGCTCAGATAACCGCCTGTTCCTTGCAAATACTAACTTTAAGCATAAGGAAAAACATCTTTTAACATGGCGACCCCCTAATTCGTCCCAACGTTGGACCCAAATAGATCACATCGCTATCAGCCACCGATGGAGGGGCTCGATAGAAGACTGTCGCTCATTCTGGAGCACATGCCTAGATTCAGATCATGCTCTAGTGCGAGCGCGTATTTGCTTGCGTCTTACTGGACGTAGGAAAGACGCTGCAAGGAAACCTCTTAGGGCCTACTTAATGATAGTCAAGCTAAGAGTATATTTCAGGAACAACTAGGAAAACAGTTAGGCAGCCATGTATGTGATGCCCACCCCGATGCAGCATGGAATGATATCCGAAAAGCTGTGGAAACAGCAGTGATATCTGCTAGTAAGGTAAACCAGAAGGTTAGGGAGCAACACTGGATCTCAGCAGCATCTATCGCACTGATAGATGCTCGGAAACTCATTCCACCTGGCTCTGAACATAATGAAGAGCGGAGTCAGCTTAAGCGCAAGCTGACAAGAAGTCTACGCAATGATCGCGAACAGTGGTGGGTAGCGAAAGCAAGAGAGATGGAAAAGGCAGCGGCAATAGGTAATAGCAGACAATTGTTCAGACTCGTTAAGGAAACCGGAATTAGGAACCCGACCGTTAGCGAAACAATCTCAGAGAAAGATGGACATATTATTCATTCTCAATCCAGGAGATTGGATCGATGGGCAGAACACTTTAGGGATCAGTTCAACTGGCCTTCAGCCACACTTCGGTTTCCCACGATCTCTAGTCAACCTGAATGGCAAGTTAATGTAGGTCCTCCGTCCCTTTACGAAGTTGAAAAAGCCATAGGAAATCTGAAACGAGGGAGAGCAGCAGGCCCTGACAGGTTTACTCCTGAGATTTTTAAGGATGGTGGTCCAGTATTAGCAATGAGATTAACTGAGGTCTTAGGTAGAATTTGGGAACTGGACGTAATCCCATCTGACTGGTCTCAATCACTGATTGTGCCAGTCTATAAGAAAGGACAAAAGTCCTCTTGTGACAATCACAGAGGAATCAGTTTGACTAATATAGTGTCTAAAATATTAGCTTCAATAATACTTCGACGCCTAATCAAAGCTCGTGAAGAGCAGGATAGAGAAAACCAGGCCGGTTTTCGACCTGGACGTGGTTGTATAGATCAGATATTCACACTACGTCAGGTTCTAGAACACAGACACACATTCAGACGCCCCACAATGGTAGTATTTCTCGACCTTAAGGCGGCATTCGACTCTGTTGATCGTGAGGTTCTATGGCAGTGTTTGTCACTGAAAGGAGTACCAAAGAAGTACATTAACCTTATAAAGGCTCTCTACTCGAACACAACTGGTAGAGTGAGAGCTTATGGCGAACTGTCATCAGAATTGATTACCTCAAGTGGTGTTCGTCAGGGCTGTCCACTCTCCCCATTCTTGTTCAACTTTGTCATTGACGTACTTTTAGAGATAACACTCTCCTCATCTAAATTTCCAGGGGTTGAACTTCTACCGGGAGGTTCACTTGTTGACTTAGAATATGCTGATGACATAGTTTTATTTGGTGAAGACGCTGACAAAATGCAGAGTCTTCTGACCACTCTAAGCAACAATGCAAGCATGTTCGGGATGCGATTCTCTCCCTCGAAATGCAAAATGTTGCTTCAGGATTGGGTTACATCGACACCCGAACTAGTGATAGGGAGTGAAGTAGTTGAGTGTGTCGACCGCTTCACTTATCTTGGAAGTCTCATCAGCCCTTGTGGTTTAGTGTGTGACGAAATCTCAGCACGGATACAGAAGGCTCGACTAGCTTTTGCCAACTTGCGTCATTTATGGCGTAGGCGAGATATCCGTCTATCAACCAAAGGACGGGTTTACTGCGCAGCAGTTCGTTCCGTCCTACTTTATGGCAGTGAAACATGGCCGGTAAGAGTAGAGGATATTCGTAGGTTACTAGTATTTGATCATAGGTGTCTTCGAAATATTGCTCGTATATCATGGGACCATCGAGTAAGTAACAGTTGTTAGGAAACGGGTACTAGGTAAGGATGGCAAATCAATTGATGAAGTAGTGAAACTTCATCAGTTGAGATGGCTGGGACACGTGTTACGTATGCCCAACGACCGACTGCCTCGACGTGCTATGTTCAGTGGTATAGGAGTAGGTTGGAAGAAAGCTAGGGGCGGCCAAACCAAAACATGGCACAAGTCCATGAAGTCACTGACAAGTGGACTGAGTCATGTTGGTAGGTGTAGACTACCTGGTTGGGGACCGCGAGATGATAGCAACCGATGGTTAGAGACCCTGAATGACATGGCTCAAAATCGTTTGCAATGGCGCAGGTGCATCCACTCTCTGTGTTCTCCCAAATTCTAATCTTCTGAATCCTTCATGTCCCTTTTTTCCTCTTTCCAAATTTATTTCACTGGATTATACTCTTTAAATAACATCTCCAAACCCTAATCTTCCCGATTACTGCTTATACTCTTGCTACCTCTACCACTACGGGATTTGAATCGACAACTGCATCTCTGTGCTAATGTGGTGTGGCAACTCGAACTGATGTACGTACGTACGAAGTTCTACGTTGTTACTGATTGACTGACTGACATGGTGATTACACTTGCTAAGAAGTAGCTATTTTATGCTGTACCTCCTTAGATCCAAAATCACTAATTAATAACATCAATGTCTAACTCCAACTAATCCACAAAATTGAGCGGTGCATCCATCATTGCCATCAGTGAATTAGTATCTCACAACTAACCCGGTTGAACTTCACTGGTCACTGCTTATCACTAGAACTCCAGGATTTACATGTTGAAGCCAGACACTAGTGAGCATATGTCGATTATTATCAACTATTTTATAACATCAAAAGGATTTGAAAAGTTTATCTTGCACATTCATATATACTGAGTTCATTATAGAATAAGTCGAAATTAACAGTTGAATGATAAATAAATGAAGTGGACAATGAATTAAGTCTAATTTGTTTTAAAATAATTCACTCAATAACATTCGTTTACATGAAAGACTACAAATTCTAAATATATAAATAATCGTGTTATGATACTGTGGATAATCAATTCTATTTTGAGCTAATTATTTTTCTAATCAAATTATGGTAAAGTTCTGGTATCAAATGCACTTTTAGTGCATTACTAACAAGTTTTTCTCTAATGATATTGTTTGTTTACCTATATTCAGATTCATTTGTCATTTATATCAATATTCGTTCAGACAAGTTTCAACAGCATTACATGAAAGTACTGATTAAATTAAATTATTAACTTACTCCTTTTCGTTCCCAATAATTATGTTATTTAATAAAACAGAACAATTTACCATTTTAACAATTTCTGGGGCAAAACATTATTGGATTAACTAAATATTATGAAATTTAGATGTGATATGTGATAGTAGAATTTCGGTAATGTGCTCTTGACTTAGATGTCGACTGCCAACAACTCCATGAGTTATATGAGTCTTGGGTAACATCAAGATATGCAGGAACTGAGAACATTTCATTCGTTCTTGACATTATCATAAAAGCTATCGATATCATATTGTCTGTAATGTATATTAGGAAACAAACAAATTGATAAAACCTTCAAAGAGAGCTTGATTAAAAAAGAAAGAGTAAACATCATTTTAACGACCAAAGATTTTGTGTCATTAGTGGAATCTTGGCAATCAAATGTAAGAACTTTAATCATAGGATTCAAAAAAAAGATTTTAACCAGTATTCTAAGCATTTCGTTCTTGCGTAGATAAGTTATGTTTTGCTTCAACTTCACCAGTCATTAATTAATCTTATTATATAGAATGTTAACAGTTGTGATTTGACAAAACCACTAGATATTAAATTACAGAAAAACTGAATAGTAGAGTCGCATAAAAATTAATTGACTACAAGGTTATACCAGCTCTTTTTTCTGAAAATTCCTCAATTTCTGTCAGAAGACATATTGTTACCGTTATACGTATAGTTTTATTCTTGATCTTATGTAACACTTAAAGTTATTTGTTATGTGACTGATCGCATATTAGCTTTTTTATGATTTCTATAAGTAATTGTATAAACACCATACCAGTTGCATGAGCCAGTAACTATCTGCACGTTTGTATTAGATCTTCCACTTTCATCGATGGTGCTGACCTGGTATGTGAATGTTTCCACCTGTTCCAGATTTCTCCATCAATTGTGATTGGATTGGTGTTCTCCTTGTTGTTTTTGAGAATGTTGCTTTTTCCCTTGTGTATTTTGAGGCCTACTGATGCAGAGACTGCTGCTACCCTGATTGTCTTCATCTGCATTTGTTAGTGTGTATGGTACAGAAGGGTCAGGTCATCTGTGAAGTCCAAGTCGTTTAGTTGCATGTAAGCCGTCCATTTTATTCCGTGCTTCCCCCTCGGATGTGGAGTTCATAATCCACTCAACTATCAAAAGAGAAAGGAAGAGAGTAAACGAATGTGTCTGACTCCGATCTTCACTTGGAATGCATCTGTCAGCTGTCCTCCATGCACCACTTTGTAATGTAGTCCGTCGTATTAATTTCGGATGATGTTGGCGATTTTCTCAGCTACTCACTCCATAGCGTTGAAGAAGGTTCCATGAGTTTCTTCCATCCTCACTGTAAAACTCCTCATAGTCAAGGAATTTGATGCATAGGGATTTGTAATGTCACAATTTTATCCTCAGGGAATCCGAATTGTTGATCTCGAAACTTGGTGTCTGTTGAATCTTTCAGTACCTGTAATTTGTTCCACATTTCTAGTACGGGAATAGCATAAAACAGTACCATATCCATTCTGTCATTTATTCTAAGTATCAAACTATTATGAGTAAATTGACAAAAGAAACAAGATTATTATTACCACCTTTTGTGATTAAATCGCTTTATTGAGAAATGTTTCAGTTCGTTTCTATAGTCACTAAGCCGTGATTTTTAATTTTTGTATTCAACCGCGGCAAAATACAATTGAGATCAGTTAATGATTTGATTTCAATTTGAATTCGTATGTAACTACAGATAATAAAAATACAAGTCAATTATTATTGAATTGACAGCAAAATTACCCCTTTAGTACCAGTGTTCCCTTTATGTATGTACGTTATAAAGCAAATTTTTTTCATATGAACTCTACCCTTATGTTGTATATATTTATTTATATAATCTTCATCAGCTAACATAGGAATTACCTTGCTTCCGTTAAAAATAAAGTAATGTATATGACCTCTATATTGTAGAAATCTAGTAACGCCTTTTTCCTGTTAGATTTGAGCATATGAAATCTATGAAGTTGACATTATAATGTATATGTATTTTCATCTAATAAGTTTGATATTATATATATAATGTTATTAGAAGTTATAGTATTTCTGCAATGGAACCTACTTTATTTCCTGAAGATTCAGTATTGAAGTTATTCAACCTCAGAAATTTATTTTCTTGCAACACAAGGTTTAAGAAAACTGAACTAGATACTAAAACGTGTAAGATAATAAGTTTACCAGTAAATTCAATAGTACAAAACTACATTATTTGTTTCATTGTTATCAATTTTAGAAAATAATGTAGAAAAACAATCCTTTGTTTATTTCGAGAATTTTGTAGAAATTCTATTTCCGCCAACTAATTAATGATTTCATTCAAATTGATAATTTTATTTTTTGTAAATTGTTCATATATAGAATTATGATTAAATTATATTTATGCACTAAATCCAACTGTTTAACTAATATTATATATTTTAATTTTATATCCAAAAATAAACTAAATTCATGTAAAGTACACAATCTTGGTAAGATGAGATGTTTGTTTTGCATTAGATAATTCTTTATGGTGTTATAACAAAGTGAATGATACTACACATTGTCCTCGTATTTGCCATCGAAAAGATGATGTTTCAAATTTTCTGTACATTGGGTAGTTAAGATTGAAGGTGATTAGTTTCTTAATCTATCAGATGGATGATGCCATTGCTTGTTAACTGTACCATAATTTTGTGAAGTTTGCGTACTGTTGTAGCTATTGTACGTTCAGTATTTGCAAACTTCAAAATCTTACCTATTTATTTGGTTTGATAAAGTAGAAATTTATATGCAATCAGTTGACGAATATTGATATCAACTTAAGTAGCGATGAATTTGAGAAGAGACTGCTAACAGATTGAAATTCAATGCACAAATGCACTGGCTGCTAGTCATTACTTTATGGAAAAGTGTATGATGCAATAAATTTCATAATTTATGATAGATCTTGATTTTTATCTAAGTATTATATTCTAGTATACATGAACATGAAACTTAAATTTCATTGTATACGTTTTAATTATGACAAAATAAGTCGAATAAATCTCTTCAATGGTTGTTATTTCTATCGTTTTTATCTTTATTTTCTGTTGTTACGATAATAATCAGCTTCCAGCTGGTGCTAATCCACCAATGCCACGTGGATTTTTTGAAACTAATCATCATATAGCTAGTGTGGATTTTTTCTTCGATTCTAGAGAAGTTGTTAAACGGTTAAAATTAACACCAGGTCATTATCTTCTTGTTCCATGTACATATGCAGCTGATCAACCAGGTGAATTTTTATTACGTTTATTATTTGACAATCCGGATAGAATTTGCGAGTAAGTAGCTCTTTGTCTGTAACAAAAATTTTCTTCATGTGATTTTTAAGAAGCCAGTTACTTTTAAGTCAAATACTAAATGGAACATTAATCTATAATTGACAGAAGTAATTATTTCCTTAATCTATCAGCTCTGATAATTAACTAACAGCTTTGAACTTATATAGTCGGGAAATTTGTATTATTATTAGCTTGATTAAATATTATATTTTTGGTGCAATATAGAATTCTCAGCGCAAAGTATTTCATCAAGTTTCCTTTCCTTACTTCTCAATCGATCCTGACGATAAATATTGAGTGATTGCCAGTTAGATGTTGGCAGTTCAGGAATCGACATCCGAATAATTTACTTTCTTTTCGTTGTATGTTGCCAGCAACCACAATGTCTCTGATTGTGCTCTTTCCTAACTGAATAGGTTACGCAATTAATTGACATAATGATCTGTTGAAACAAAGAAAAGGCAGATAACTTGTTGAAATATCTAGATAGCAGGAACATGTAGTCCAGATATTTAAGCAGGCTGCTTATATATATTCACGAGAGTTAATTTATCGGCAAAACTATGAGCGAAACCACGTAAGCCATTTCAGTAACCTAAAATGAATACGTTATATTAAATTCATAAAAGGAATTTAATTTCTAATAACTGTTTCCGGTTGTTAGACAGAAATCACAATGTGATATAATTTTGATTTACTTATCTTAATAATTATATTATGCATTCGAATGATAGAGTTCGAACAACAGTAGGGATTAATATTTATTGTCAAAGGCCACCACTTATATTTACTAGTTATTACCTATGATGATTGATAACGTGTTAACATTGAAATCTAACACATTATCTAATATACTATATTATCTTCTAGCATAAAACATCGATTTGTTTTATTGTTTTCAGATCCACTTTGGAACGCGTAGAACTTAGTGGTTTAGCTGCAACTGGACCAGAGCTAGATCCAAACTATGAATTATTTCAGCCACGTCTTAGACGATTATTTTATGAAGCTTCAGGTGAATCGATGTCTGTTGATGCATTTCAGTTGGAACCAATACTTAATTGCCTTTTGCGAGATGATCATCGGGCACCATACAGTATGGTATGTAATAACCTTCCATTTCATACGTCCATATGACTTAGAAACTTCCCAATTAAGTAGTACCGACTTGAAAATTACTGCTGAACGTTTTGAGAATAAGTTTCATTTTGATTGTAATTGGCAGAGTTTCCTATATTACCGATAAATCAGTGAATCGTTCTTCTTTTACCAGTGTGAAGATTTTTTATCCTCTTTGACTTTGAGAAGTGCGAAAACTATTCATGTTTAAATCAGGAAAGGCACTTAACCGTTAATGTGATTATCTACTATTTTCAAGGCTTATATATTACATTATTCCAATATTTTTCTTCCCTGTCATCTAGTGCTCGGAGGACTATCGTTTAAGTGTTGTGCGTTAGTCATCCGGTTTTTCCACTTCATAAAGATCCCACTTTGTATTAGAAGAATCTCTTAACTGTTAGCAATTCAGATGTATATAAATTCAATTTACAACAACTCAACACTGAGAATAACCAGCGGTAATTTTAAGATACAAGGTACTCGATGATTCTGTTTATTTGAGATTCTAGACTTAGTGTTTTACGTTGCCCCAAAGACCATTAGATATCGACATTAAGTGAGAATAATAAAACCATTCGTTCGGCATTATTCTGTTGTTTTACATGTAAGATAGAAAACATGTGTAATTTGGTGATACTAATTTTTGTTCAAACGTTTAAAAAGTCTACCTATCAATTTTTAATTGTTGGGTTAAACTCATTTGCTATTTCAATAAGATTATCATTATTTATAGTGCATGATTTGAAATGTTTACAGAATTTACTCAGTATTTATGTAAGCGTTCTTGTACAATAATTCATTAAAATTTTGTTAAAAATTTAATCAGGTTAGTACAGATGCTTGTCGATCTCTGGTAGCCCTTCTCGATCGTGATGGGACAGGACGTTTGTGTGAATCAGATTTTCGACGAGTCTGGGATATTCTACGATCATGGTCTCGTCTGTTTGCAAGTTTTGATCCACAGAGAACTGCTCATGTAACGAGTTTGGACTTTCGAATTATTGTTGAACAAGCGGGTAAATTATGCTTTTTATACGATTTTAATATTTTTCAGTACAATTTTTAGTAATAATACAGATAGTAATTCATGACGAGACAATTAGTAATTGAGTTATTTGTACAATTGAGAGTATGTTCAGTTAAGAAAATTTAGTATTTTTTAGTTTGATAATTGTCAACAGTTTGTACAGATAAGTCATTTTAGTTAACTGACTTTGTAAGTTATCATTGTTCTCATTTAGAAAATTCGGATAAACGACTTTGGTGTTACCTAACTGCTCATATTCCTTAGTGGAAAAATTTATGGCCTGACAACAGTTCATTATTAATTACTTAACAATTTTATTTCTGAACGTGTCGTGAAGTCTATCATTGATAAACTAAAAAATGTCAAGACAGTATAAATTTCCCAGTTCCTGATATCACTAAGTCATTTATTTTATCTGGTTTGCTGTAAACAGTTTCCATATTTCTATTATTCGATGCAAGTCATTACAGGCACACAAAACTGATTATTATAGTATTAAAAATTGTTATGTAATGTCTTCAACTATAATTTCCAGTACCTGCATTAACTGCGATCGTTAAGTCAGATTCGCCATACATGGTTCTGAAGAACAACCAACAACTCCATTGACTTATGTCTTATCTTGGCCTGGCTGTTTTTATTTTTTTTTCAACCAGCTATTTTACCTACCACTTGTCAAGGATGACGTATCCTTCACTCTTAACAGTGTATTTAAAAAGCATTTTATTATATATATTGATTATTTATTATATTGTTGCCTGTTCTCTCAACTAGGTTATACTCTTCCACACACACTATTTTCTAAACTTGTGAACCGATTTGTTAATGTAGATTGGCGTCTTGATTATCCGCATTTCATCAGCGCTATGTCACTTATAACAAAATCAGTTGGTAAGTGCTACCGTTATTATTATTATTATTATTATTATTATTATTATTATTATTACGAATGCTAACCCACCTTTCCACTTATTTATCCGTTAAGAAATCGGATCTACATAAATATTTCATTCGTTTTAGAAGATAAAAAAATAAACTGAAGTTGGAATAAAAAGTGATTCGTAAACATTTTTGCCTCAGGAATAATAAAACACTACGGTGGATTTGATACTCACACCAAGTTTACTTGTACATAAATATGTAGTTAACTGAATAACCAAGTCATGGTTCATAAAATAAGTCTTCAGTCATATTATTTGTATAATATTTACTAATACTGTTTGTTTAACTAATTTATGATCGATGATGAAATAGTTATGATCGAATACATGGAAAAAATCATTTGATAGTTGTGTAATATTAACGTATAAGTCGTTATTGCTTCATTTAATTACTTGAAGTCAATGACGATTACATAAATCATTTCATTCAGAATTATTAAATTACAATTGATAAATTGATTATGTCAGATATATACTTTCTGTTCTCTATCTATATAATATATTTTGAAACAAGTACTTTCGATAGAGAAATTATACAGTAGGACAAAATAGATTTTTGTTACAAATTCATAGTTTCTGATCTTTCTGTAAATCTAAAGTGAATTCACTTATCAATCTAATTGACACTTTAACTATGAAGAGAAAAAAAATATAGAAAATTCTCTTCACGATAATTTTTTTCTTATGAAGATGAATTACTCTAAACGATAAAGTTTTTAGTAAAGATTAATTTTCCTATAGATTCTATTACATCTGGGTAAAATTATTGTCACTGATAAGTGTCTCTAATGATTATTTTTAATTTCAATCGATAATATTTTTACGAAAATAATATTTATGTTTTGTTGAATATTTTTATTAATTTGTTTTCTTTTTTTATTTTTATTATGTGGTTATAGCAATTTTTAAGAATTTTGATCATGGTGGACGAGCTGTACTACCCTTGGAACAAGTAGGCTTTTAGGTTTTCCTGTTTTTGTTTTTTGTTTTTTTTTCGTTTTATTTATTGTATACATTGTTTTGATGATTAACTCCAGAATTATCATAAGTAAATTTACTTTTAGGGATACAGGTTATTCGACAATCTACACCTCGATGTACAATGAAACAAGTACATTACACGAACATCTAATCACAATATATTGAGTTTCTGAAATCACAGAATTTCAATAAACTATCTTCAAAAATGAGCGAATCAAATAAAGGAAATTAAATACTGTTATGACATACAAGTGCTTTATGTGATATGTTTGTTATTTCAGTTTATAAAGTGTTGGTCTATAACGTGTAATATAAAGTAGTTTTAGAATTAGGCGTGTTATCTGATGAAATGACTTAAGTTTGAAAACTGGGTAACCATCAGACTTGAATATTTTTCAAATTTAATCCTGATCGAACAAAGTCTTTACCGTATGTTGAATAATGAGTCATTAATTGGGACGAACAATATGTTCAATGGTGCCTAGTTTTAAATGTTTCAGCAGCTGGTATCAATCTGTAACTACATCTATTTTCGCAAATTATACTTGAATATACGAGATTAGAGTGTTGATTATTAAAAATTGCAACTAACGTTTCAGTTTAATAAGTATACTACTTTTCAAATTATATAAAATGGAAGAAACGTAACTGGTTTTGTACCTAGTTGTAATGATAAGGAAGCAAGGAGGATAAACTTCGTAGTTTTTAGAAAGTAAAATAAAATATTGACCTTCGAAATATAAAAAATAAGAACATTTCATTTAGTTGGGAAACTTTTTCACTTATGGTGAAACGTTGGCGTTAATACTGAAAACTCGCTTGCCTTTTAATAGCCTACATTATTCGTATGACTGTTTTCAGTCATTGAACTTTTATCATTTCTCTTTTTTCGAGTGTATTGTTCAAAAACTACTCCTGATAAAGTAAGGCGAGTGACTGTTCAAAGTTAAAAGTTATACTTTCAAATTTTTGATCTACGTCATACGAGGTATATTGATGAGTTTTGAAGTAATCTTGTAGGAAGTGAGTTATGGCAGTCAATATTACTTGGGATTAAACGTGTAAATGAAAAGCTTAACACCTACTTAAATGTTCAGTCCCTACTGATATATGAACAGGTTCACAAAAACTTAAAATTTTTCAGATCGATAGAAGTGTGTTTGTTTAATTAACATTTTTCCAGCTCTTCTAAATAGACGTACTGGTTAATAAAATGACAATGTTAGAAATCTGTAAAAACTGTGATCTAAAATCAATTAGTGTAATCAAGATGCAACATTTCACAACGTAACGCTGCATTAAATAAGAAATTAAGACAAGTACATGATTATGATTTAAACTACTAATGGAACTTAATAACTAACTGGCAAAATTTGTTTCACTGTTAACCATCACGTGTAATATAACTATTAATTGACATTTGTCATTTTTTTTTACTGTTACATATGTTACATATATTTACAGTTGAATAAACATTCAACATTTTAATAAAAATGTCTATCAAACCTATTTTCCACTCGTTTATAGTAAATTATAAATTAACGATTTCAGACTACTTTCAAATAAACAATACAATGAACAGTATATTGTTTTGTTCAGTATTACATTTGTGAATTTTTTTTCTTCAATTTACCTTTTTTTTCTAAATTGACCATTTAATACTTGATTATTAATTCAATGAATTGTTTACAATGAAGAATCTCAGTTTTTTTCTTTCTTTTTGTTTAGTTTGTCGAAATCGCAATGACAATGTAATTTGAAATGGAATAAACGAAAAGTAATTCATTCTTCCTCACCTTATCTATCTCTTTCTTTATGTTTTTATATTCCTTGTAAAAAAGAATTCACTACTTCAGTAATATATAATCTATTTTAATAAGTCAGATAACTTATCGGTATATACTTCAATATTGATATTGTTACAATAATAATAATAATAATTTTTTTTCGGATTATAATTTCCACAATGTTTGGTTATTTTGTACACAAAATCCTATTATTTTTATGTTTCTAACTGATATCTATACAAAGAGAGGGAGTGAGCAAAGAGAGGTGTTATACTTTTTAACTACCATTATTCCGATTTGATTAACAATCTATTCATCGATTTGATCACTTCAAATTATTTATTTACACTTTATTTATCTCATTTCAATTTCACCAATCCATATCTTACAACTCCTCCTCTCTTAATACGATAGTTATTTAAATATACAGAAAGTCAAGACTACTGCTGCCACTTCTACAACTACTGATTTTGTTATATCATTGAAAAGAGTTTATCATAATTATGGCAGGTAGAATGCAGATCATGGCAATTGATAATCGTTATCATAATTATGGACAAATGTTTCTTTTATACACATTTATTCGTATACTCATTCGAGCTGCTGTGAGAAAATACAAATAACAGAATTAAAATCACTTATTTTTTAATTATTATTATTATTTCCTACTTAAAAATCCAAATTAATTTTTCCTCGTTATGACTAACATATTAGTAATCAAGTTCATAAAGTACATAAGTTTAATGTTTTATTGACTGTTCTACTAACAGTGCTGTTATAACTGCTAAAATAACTAATTATGGTAATCATGAGTATTATTAGTGCATAATTAAAATGATAATATTTGATTTATTCCAAAAAGGTTTAGTAACTCTTACTCTCCCCTTGTTCCACGCTCTCCTTGTAACCACCCTATATTTTGTGTTCCCCTTTTTACTTCTTTTATTTTACCCTTCTCATTTCACATTCTCTGTCTTTACTTTTTTGATTTTCCATTACATAAATTTCCTTTCATATTTCTAATGGAGAGTTGGAAATACCAATTTTTTCTTTATATATATATATATATATATATATATATATTCCTATGTTCTAATGACTTGTTATACTAAAATGTATGCAAACAACCTTTTTGTAAGTTTAATTTAAGAAAAAATTCGCATGTACATTTCCCGACTACGGTTTTGCTTTTTCCATCAATTATATTTACCATCCTTTGTTTGTATATACACATTTATTTGTTTATCTATATTCTCTTAGCTGTTTCATTTACCGTGTTATAAGAGAATTGTATGTTCTTTATTTATTAATTCATGAATTGGTTTTTGTCTTTGCATTCTTCCCCTTCTTCATCTTCTTTTTTTTCTTCCTCTTCTTCTTTATTCCTCTTCTATGTTTCTGCATATAAAACCGTGTTAATTATTGTTATTATGATAAATATGGTAATTCATTTTATACAATAGATATTTTCAATTGCGTTTATTTAACTTTTTTCAAATTTATGCCACAAAATTACATCAATTTATCAATTAATTGGTAAGGTTTTTGTAAATTCTTACAATTCATCATGTTAAAACCATAATAACTGATGTGTTTTTCAGAGAAAACATCCATTCACTACTTATCTAGTTTTATAAAAAAGATTTAAGGTTACTGAGTGTATGAACTGACCTCTCTGAAATGTAATTAATTTTATCAAAGTAAGATCGTTTAATATGAAAACACTGATGAACAGTGGAAAACAAACCAGCTTATTGTATTCACACTACAACTTTTAGCTTAGTAGTTTTACAAAGTCTTACATATCAAGTTAAAAGAGTGGGTTTATAACAAAAATCATAGTATTTGAATACGTTTCCGAGAACCACAGAAAAAATGCGCTGAGTGACGTAAAATTTGACAAAAAATCTCAATAAACACTATTCAACATAAATTTACAGCAGATTTACATAAATAATAAGGAATTCTATATATATCCGCTTTTCTGAAAGAATTCTAAAGCATTTATTGTGTGAGAAAAAGTAAACTACGTAATATCAACTTTATTGCTGATTTCTATGAAATGTCACAATGGTTTCTATAGTGGAAATAATGACATTTGTTCTCTATTTAACATGATGTTTTCAAGTAAATATTATTTCTATTAAACTTATGAGAATCAAGGACACTAATTAATGTGATTCAGTCGAACAATGAACAAATAAATTAATAGAAGAAATTTGAACAATTTAAATTCTTGGTATAAATACCTTTTTGACAAATAGATATGTTCATACCTTAGTGACTGGTTGGAACGCTACTTGTTATATCTGGTCGTCGCTGATTGTTATGTCGGGGTCGCTTACCACATACTTGAAACGAGGAACCTCTGCAATTCCCACGATGCGAAATTAAGAATACAAAGACTGGTATAACTGAAGATTTATTAATCCCCAAAACACGACGATCCTAGTCAGAAATACACTCATTTATATATTGATTGTACACACATTTTGATTAATAATTAGGATGAAATCATATATATAAGAAAGTACTTAGATTTATACCAAATCATATGCTGAGCATAGATCTTGTCAACAATGTCGTATGTTATACAGAATAAAATATCACATTGGAAAACAAAAAAAACCAACGCTACACTAAATAATGATCACATTCAAACAAAAAACGGAAATTATGTTGAACAAAACTCCTAATGAGTAAATCAGTTAAATTTTGACTTTTCCTTCTATCGAATCAATTTTCCTAAATAATTATGATTTCATTTAAGACTATAAATTAATTTGAGAATCGAGAAATATGAAACAACAATTTTACATATTTCATACTTATTATTTTTATTTTCAAAGTATCATACATTAAGACGCTTATCTTTCCCGATAAAATCAATCAGTTAATTTCTTGAAAAAAAAACATTGATTGAGAGGATTATTTTTAATTAAAAACTGGTAATTATTACGCATAAATCACATGAACTTTTAATACAGAGTTATTTGTTTAACTCTTCTCTGAACAAAATGAGTGAAGAAGTTTTAGCTTTAAAATTCAAATGTAATTAATAATTCTACTTTGGTAATTGAATCCATAGATTTACTCAATATTATTCACTAGCGTTTATCCATAGATATATGTCAAATGAAATAACACTCACTACATGATAGAATTTACTTACTTATAATTGTTACTTCTCGTGGAGGAGCATTGGCCGCCCACCAACATTCCCCATTGAACTCAATCCTGGCCAATTCTTTCTACTTGTCTCCACTTGCCAATCATCCTTTTCATATCCACTTACAATTCTCAACACAGTGTGTTCTTTCGCCTCCCTCGTTTCCGTCTCCCTTCCAGATTCCAAGTTGATGCTTGCGTCATGATGTAATTTGATGATTTCTGCTATTTGTGTCCTGTTCACTTTCAACGACTTCTCTTAATTTCCTTTTCAACTGTGAACTGGTTTGTTCTCTCCCCCAGTAGACTGATGTTGATGATATTCAATCAACAGACATTGAGTATCTTGTGTAGACAAATGTTTCAAAATACTTGTACTGTCTCGATGATGTTTGTGTTAGTTTTCAAAGTTTCAGCTCAGTACAATATCACTGTCTCGACGTTTGTATTGAAGATTGTGACTTTCATACTGGCTTGCATACAGCTATTTTGAGTTTCATATGTTCTACAATTGTAGGATTGCTGTCATTGCTTTGCCAATCTTTGCCTATACGTTTGTATCAGACCTGACCTGGTACGTGAATGTTTCCATGTGTTCCAGATTTTCTCCATCAATTGTGATTGAATTGATGTTCTCGGTGTTGTATTTGAATGGTTTTACATAGTTGATAATTTCGAAAACGTACTACCTATCATGGATCACATCAGTTTTATCTCATAAAACACTAGACTAACCTCGTCGTTATTATGATAAAAATATTGTATGATAAGCAGATAATTTCAAGTAAAAATGTTTTTAATCGGTAGCTTTATTGTATTTTAAAGTATAACAATGAAAATGTACTAAAGGTTTTTAGTCCATTTGTTTGTACGAATAGGCTTAATTGATAATTGATTATCATGACGAATCAACATTTTAGCTGAGGAACAATTAAAAACTAAATAGAATTGGACGGCTTTTTTCTCTTGGATAGAAACTATTCATCACTGCACACCACATAACCATGAAAGAAGTCAAACCCAAGATCTCCATATCTCAAATACCCATATGATGATTGCTCATAAAGTACGAATTAATAAGAAAAGTTATCGAGCAAACTACTGAGTAGCAGAATATTAGTAGTACTTTCACATTAAATCTACATACAAATAACTTCACAGTTAAATAATAAGATGAATAAAAGTTACCTAAAAAGTTCCTAATTTTATCAAATCTGTACTTTTGTGTATCTAACACAATAAACAGTAAAATAAACACCAAGTTTTTTTTTTTTCCCATCAAAACTTCTTTAAAATAATCAAAAGAAATGACTAAATAAACATCTTAATAAAATGTATGGGAAAGTAGTTTATGCTGGAAGATTTTCTAAAAATTTGAATTCACATCAGCTGTAAGATCGTTAGACCTTAACATATTCATAGTAAAACTACTCCTTAATACATTTCATATTTCAGTGTATTCCTGTAGTTACAATATTGAAACTTTCAACATGTTAATTACTTATTCAGCTGGTTATAAACAAATAATTTTTGGTAAAGAAATGAATCATTATGAAAGTTACCACTTCTAATTAGTTTATATGGAAAATTACAGATTTTCTCTACACCCATAATTTAAAATGTATTAATCACTTATAAACAATAAGGTTTTACTAAAGATTTTCATTGATGATATAATGGCTTAGAGATTTGTAACCATTCAAATAATAACCATTGGGTTGTGAATTAGAACTGCACACCATCATATTCAGTTTAAGAAACTGTTTCACAGTCAAAAGGTTTGACTGATTATCAAATGAACAAACTTAAACTTTTTCAGTGAATTGTATGATTTGTCTATACGTTTCTCTATTCTCATAGAAATTGATAGTTGATGGGATATAATTAGATGAAAACTCTGAAAAAAACTGAAGAAACAAAACCAATTTCTGTCATCAAATGAAGGGTTGCTATCATTCAGAAGAAAATATGCATATTTTTAAAAACTAATTACTTTCTAGTGAGTTATGATTAGCAGATTAGTGAATATTATAAGATAAAAAGACGAAAAATAAGAAAAAAATTGGTATTGGAGTGAACTAAATACACTGGCTATTGAAAACTGAGAGGAAATATAATATTGAGGATGATCATTGAGAATGGTGGTCTAGCTTCAACTGACTCATGATTTCAATCTGTGAAAATTTCTAAAAATCTCCACAAACCCCTTCTGATAATTAATTAATACATATATCTTCATGTATGTATTACATTAAATGAATCTATTTTATATCAAATAAACTTCACGCTTTGTAAAGCACATTGAATTTATCATTAGATGTAAGTTGAGTCACCAACTTGTTAACCATTAGTGAGCTTCTTAGAACTAAATTCTTCGTCTTTACTTGGAATGCATCTGTGAGCTACCCTCCATGCACAAGTTTTCAGTTCAGTCCCTCGTAAGAGTTCCGTATGATGGGGATGATCGATTCAAGTACTCCATAGTATGGGACCAGACACCATATGAGTTTCCTACGCATGCTGTTTAATGCTCACTCATAGTCATAAAGCGGGTGTATAGTGTTGAGTTCCATTCACTCGGTTGCTCAAAAAAGATCGGACGTCACTCAGTTTAGTCGGTGAATGATCAATCCTTACGAAATTCAGCTTGTTCATTTCATCCGGTTCAACAGCACACTTTTGAAAATGTTCCTTAATACTAAAAATATCGTGAAGCCTCGATAGTTTTCATATCTATTGGTATCTCCTTTCTTTAGTATCTTGATGAGATATCTCTTTTTCCAGTTTGCACGTACCCGTTCTTCTTCTCAAATCATTATGAAGAAAACATGGAATATCTTATTTAATGTTTCGGCTGGTATTCTGTCTAGTACTGCAGCTTTGTATTTCTTGATTTGTCTGATGATTTTGTTTATTTTTATCACTGTTAGTGTTCTGTCATCTACATGAATGCTTGTGTATGCCACTTCATTATCCCGTGGATTTAGTGGTGTTGATCCATTCAAGAGTTCTTCAAAGTCCTCTACTTTATTTTAAATGATTTTTCGATGATTCCGAATCCATAAGATTCCCATCCTATAAGGGCTTTTCATGCTTGTCTGTACGATCTATTTTCTTCTTAATGATCGGGATTCAAAAATATCACTCTCTAGCTTTCATCCAAAGGGTTCCACTTATTCCAATCTGGGCAAGGTTGTATTTACTCAAATTTGCCACTATTTTAATGATACTTCGGTGTCCGACAATGTCAAAACAGTCTCTCTCTTCCTCTCTCTCTCTCTCTCTCTCTCTCTCTATATATATATATATATATA